TGGTTAAATTGTGCCACCCAAGATACCGTTTCTTTTAATTTCATTTGAATTTCAATAATTCTTGTTCAACTCTGACTGATTGTAGTTTCTTTTATAGAATTATTAATGAGAGAATTATGTATACTCGTATTTCGTCACTATTGTTTTCAAGTCGAGAAAGGATTGTACTCAGCGATTGATCCTTATAAGGCTATCTTTTAGAATCAATTTGAATGATTTAGAGTTTGTAATTAGGTGCGAAATCTTTACTTTTTTGCTTTTGACCAGAGCTAGCTATTATTAGCATTATTAACTGTAGAATAGTACTTTGTTGTTCCATGAGATGGTAGGATTGCCTAGACTATGACCATAAAAATCTCTACGTGTTTTTTTTTCTTTTCTGAACCATAGATCACCACAGAAAAATAATATATAATTGTCATACTTTTGCCTTTCCCCTCAGAGATCAAAGGGCGTAATGTTATTTATGTTTTCTTTTTTATCACTTATATAGGTTTGTGTGATGGTGTTTATGATATCATTTATATTCTGTGGAAAACGCCATTAGTTACACATTTGTTCGAACTACCTATGTATTGTGTCATTATAATATATCATGTAATGTGTGACTGTTTGTTTTCCCAAATAAATAAAATAAAATAAAATACTGTATCAGTTTAACTTCCTTAAGCTACTTTATTGAAAACACAACTATAGCTCTCGAAACAGAAGTTGACATATTTAGGTAAATTAATATTCTAAAATTACTCGCCTAACAACTTTGAATAGTAATGTAAAAAACAATGAAGTGATAGCAAAACAAATTAGTTAATGATACTAAATGTAACCAATAATAAATATAGCTATGTATGTACGTATCTAAATATTTTTATTCCGGCTCGACGTGCAGGAGAAGGAACGAGGTGGTTTTAGTTAGTAAGAGTCTGACACTCCCTTCCGCCTCACCCAGGCGGGAGCAGTCATTCGATGATTTTCCCACCTCAAAAAGAAAACTAAATATTTTTTGTTTTCATTATGCAAGTTGCGAAATTTTAATTATTGTGGCAATCCGCTACTTAAATATGTTTATGCTAATTAGAGTAATTAGCTTTTTGGTTTGCATTTTATTTCTAAGTCGTACAGTTAATAACGGATTCATGTTTACCGGAAATAAGAACAAACTGTTTAAATCTTGAGCGAAAAACTGAATTCGTACTACTATTTTGTGTACTTTATATTTTATTCAGAAGCAACACTGCCTCGTTGGCCGATGGCCGCAAATGCGACTACCGGGCAAGGGGTCTTGGGTTCAATTCCCGGGTCGGGAAAGTATTACTGGGTTTTTAAAAACCTCAGTAGTAGCCCGGAGTCTGGAAATGTGCCCGGTATATGGCAATAGGCTCACCCCCTATTACATGGGACTCATAACATAAATAGTGAAAAGTGGGGGTTACATTGCAAAGTGGCATAATGTGCACCTCTGCCTACCCCTTCGGGAATAAAAGGCGTGATGTTATGTTATGTTATGCAACACTGCATACGGGCCACCTAATACTAAGCCGTGAACAAAGTCTAAGGTATAGGTACTTGCAAAACCAGAGGCATCGCTTTTTGCCAACTGTAAACAAAGTTGACATCATAGATATACCTCTAGTTTTTAAGATTACTGTGGTTGACACGATCTTTAAAAAACCACACACGTGGAGAGGACCGCGGTTCAGTTTATTTCTAAGTACAAGGACCTTTACTCAGTGTTAGCAACGTGTTTGTATAATTTATTTAAATTTATTCATTCAGTATGACAATAAGTGATTACTTATTGATAAGTTTATCGTTATTGACAGTACCTACATAAGCTGTTGAGAGTTTTAAAGTATTCATTAGTGCATCGTTTTCCGTGGTAAGTGTTCAATAATTATTTTTGGAAGTATGGTTGAATGAATTCAAAGCTTTTCTATCTATCTGTTAATCACAAGATCAGTGAAACGAATCACCGGAAAAATTGAAGTTTTTTTGAGGCTAAGCCTACTGTAACACCGAGTTAGAAAGCAGAGAAGTCATTATCAAAAAAAGGAAACCATAACGTTTGGTAAGGTCAGTGATCCTATGAATATAAACCGGACTATTATATGCCGTTATTTACGCACATATTAAGACAATACCTATTCTGTGGTCGTCCAGTAGGCGAATTTCGGCCACTCGTGTCATTTATTATAACTTGAATAGTTTTGTAAATGTTCTCAAATATGAGCATTTGAAATTGTACGTATGTTTCACGATTGAAGTTCTTAATTTGCTATTTAATTTTGTTACTATTCTACCCTCACTGACAACGACTCTATGATTAAAATACGTCGATAACTATTATCATCAGAACTTTTATGTTAATGGAGTTTTAGCACATTCTTAGGAAAAAATACAAAACAAGTTGCATTTTAGGCAAACGTTATCATGTTAATTTAAACTAAAGTAAGTTCTTTTACTAGATATGAGTAAGACCCATTTCCATAAAATAACAAAATTTAAATAAATAGAAAACAACAATTTGAAGTAAAATTGCTATCGGTTAAACGACTCTATATAGATATTTTCAATTGAATTTTTTAGTTTAAAGGTAAAACTTATTTTATTCAACGAAATTAATTGCGTATTTGGAAACAGTCGCAGCCTCGTAGGTAGTTTATGGACTAAAAAATTGATTTTGATGACAACGTGTTGCACAAAAGTTATTTTTTTTAGTTGGTTTTCCATTCATTTATCGTCATCATTTATGTAAGGTTTATCAGCGGCGTTGTTGTTCGGTTGCTGTAAAATGTGTGGTCCTTTAGTCGGCTGCTATGACACCCGCGGAAAGAATTAGTGAAAAATCTATTCTACTTTTCCATCACCACCAAGATTCCCTGCGAAGCAGCGAATCTTGGCGAGCAAGGGTAGCTGCCTGACCAGAACCAGACCCGTGCGTATGCCTCTTCACGATTCGCGAGCTCCTGAAGTTGTCAGCGGACCACCACAGATACCCGTCTGTGGTCCCACAGATCCCAGTGCCCGATACGTAACCGCGGAAGGCCTAACGGGTTGCTGGGGCTCCGACTCAGAGAGCAGGAGTAGGAACGGGGTGATTTTAGTCACCTCTCCCTAACCCAAGGCGAGAGAAGTCGTTAGATGATTTCCCCCCCTCAAAAAAGCTACTATTGTACTTATGAATTGGAGAAAATCCAATAGTTGAGTAACAAAATAAAACTACAATTTTACCATAGAATACGGAAGTAAAAAGTAGCAATTAGATACAGAAGTGGCAATCTATAAAAAGACAATGATTAGTGAAAGTGTTTGGAGGTGAACTCCATGGGGCAGCCCCATGAATACTGCACGGTATGACAACTGTTAAATCCGAATGAAAACTAGTAAATCGATCTTAACATAAAATATACGGATTGTGTAATCGGAATTCATTAATGATTTTGTATCGATTGCATCGATCAAGTGACCACAAGCGTGATTGTCGTGTTAGGCGTCTCAGGTTTATCAGGCGACGTATTATTGAGTATTTATACTATCGAGTAATTTCATTAAAAAATCTTTACATTTTGACACAATGACAATTTATGTCATTGTGTCATAATAGGTACTAGGTGATGAAAACATCTTTAATCGTTGCACATACTGATTGCAAATGCGGAGTATTAATTAGGTGGAGATGTAAATAGCATGAATGGAGAAAGAAAATTACTATATGGCAAAATAACAGAAGATAGAGTATTAGTATAGTGTAGTCTTAATATTTCGTCCATGACACATGTTATTACATTGTTAACTTCGCAACTGACTTTTTGCCCTTGCCGTTAGGTAGATGGGACCGGTCTTGTTTTATGATGATGACTTATGTGCTACCTTCATATAGGGACATATGTGTATTTACGTAGATATAAAAGTTTCTAGAAACAGTTTCCAAGCATGCACAAACAGGAAATAATTGCTGAACAATAAAAGTTAAGTACTGATCTATTTAAATTAAACTCGATTTATTTTCACTCCAATGCCACAGGGTCAAAAGGTGCCATTGTCAATTTTTTCTTAAACTTTTTACTAAAAACGTACACAATGTAAGCATTTAATTATATTGCGTTCTGATGTAAGGGCAGGTATTCAACAATTGGGTGGATTGGTGGATATTCTAGTTTCCCGATCACATTAAAACTATTTTCTTCAATTAAGAAGGTCGGTCGGTTGGAACAAACAATATTCAATTTTAAATACTTAATCGTTGTGATTAGAAACCTAACAACCTAACCACCCAAGGGTAACACCTGTTTGTCCAGAAAGAGCGCAATTTATTGTGGCCACGTGCGCGAGAGTGTTGAATGTTCATAAGGGCAGGCGCATCGTTCGAGGCCGACCAAAATAAATTAAACAGCAACTGTATCTCAATTATTTGTAAAGAGTTGCAACGGATATCTAGTGTCGTAATATTTTACAGTGTCCAAGAGCTGGCCCGCAACCGACACCACAAGATTCAGTTAATAATTTGCGTGTAGTGCTTCACAGTGTTCTATTCAGTTTATTTATTTTTTTATATTATAATGGGTTTTAGTACGACATATTGTGAGAAGTGGGCAAATAGAAACGCTGCTTTGTACAGGGAACATATTCGAAATGAAACCAAATCTTACTCAGGTAATGTACTAATTGAAAACTTTATTAAATATAATCTTACATGCGTAGTCGTAAATGTGTTAATCAATATTACCTTACTTCTAAGTGTTGTAGATGCGCGTAATTAAATTACCCATACTTCAAGCGAGTCACAAAATTCGCAGAATATACGTTAATCAATATGTGAAATTAGACCTCTCTTTCTAAAACTAACATGGCTATCAAATAAAATGTTGTAAAATTCACGTAATACAATAAATTGACACATTAAACGCCATGGGGTCACCAGTGGGTGTCCGACGTTTTGTAATGGCAGTCAAAACCTTAAAGGTAACGCCTTCTTACGCTGATTAAACACAAAGTTATAATTATAATTTCAGTAAAGTATACCGATGTGTGTATTTAATACAAAATATTTTATGTTAACTTTTAACAAGCTGATTACACAGTTAATTTGCTCTATGCGGCCATCGAACCCGTAGGTACCCACTATCCATAGCGCAGCTGGTATGCTCAGTCACTACGCTAAGCATTAAGCTTGAATCAATATTAATAGTATGTCACATCTATCATATTATCCTCAATACTCTTTGTTTCAATTTATTTCCAACTAACCTTTGTATGTTATTTGATGACAATATTAATCTTATGTACATATGTGAACTATGCAATGTTCTTAACCAATCAACCCGCGTAACCTCGGTACAGGATAATTCAATAACATTCTCAATGACACTAATAATTTAGATGAAGTAATTACTAGGTTATTGTATAAGGATGTTTCACACAATCCTATTGATGATCAAGGATTTTAATCAAACTGTAGTACAACTGGGTATAAATATCAGGAATATAACGTACTTAGTTTAGATGTACGTTATCAGTTTTACGCGACATGCAAGCTCTAATTTATTCAAAGAAAGGGCAAGTAGTTTTCCGTTGTCTAAGAATACTGCATCTACTTTTCACCATAGAGGTTTTCCTTACATTATTGTACTCATTTCCAGCGTGAGCTGCTCTCCGTTGTCTCATTTCCAAGTTGAGTTTCATCGCTCTCGGTTCAAATTAGTGTGTTAAGTTTATGTTAGTGCAATCATTTTCATAACCAGTGTAAGAAATAATATTTTGTAACTACAGTTCATATTATTACAGTTTAAAAAGTTATTCTCGTTGGAAGACAATTATTGTGTTTTATGGTTTGTTTCTTAATGATACCGTCGAGCCTTTAGTAAGCCCTTTGCGTGGATCGATATCAATATAATGCCATTCTAAAATATTAAGGGACAATAGAGATGAAGATAACATAAAATTGCTGGATAATGGTATTAAAATATCTGAGTGTGTTATTGGGCTAATGGATTTCTAATATTCTTGTAAAATTTATTTTATTTCTATTTGAATTATAATCCATACATGTATGTGAAGACGAAAACCGATAATTTTATTTATTTTGAATATTCTGTGGTTACGTCTGACATCTGCAGTAATATAATAAGCTGGTTCTTTCGTCTCTACTGTACATTGTCGAGCCAGTGATTTATGCGGAGCGTCTAGAGAATGTGTAGGAATATCCTACATGGCCCATAAAGCGGTCAGCACCTATCAGTGCCCATCGAGACTCAGTTTTGAATGAAAAAAGAGTAGCGACAGACGTCCCGCGATGTAAAGTCCATTTTGTTCGCGTGACTTTCATTATATTTCCTTACAACGAGATAATTTATTATTGCAATATATACCTAATACCTATACTAATAAGATAGTAATTTTAATAAATAATGTGAACTGTGATATAATTGATTTGTCAAACCAATTAAAAATACAATACCAGTGTATATCGACAGAGGTTTTCCTGAATGCAATATTAATTAGATCATTTCTATGCAGTGTTTTACGGTTTTGCAATTTTTTATTTTATTTTCATGTGAATTTAAAGGTTAGATAATTTAATGCTGAAAAAAATAACCAAGTGTTGTGAATGGGGTTACAAAAAATGTGTTTTGTTAGTGCAAAATTAATATTGGTGGTGATATTTTGTATTCACGTGAAGCAAGTTACCATGGTCTCGATTTTCGAACGCGAGGAGTACTGCGGAGTGTTGTTGAGTCAATATGGTAATAACTTCGTTAATTAGTTGGTATTTACTTGTGCTCTTTAAAGAACAAACGTTCATTCTTTTTTGCACTTTCTACTGAAGCTGTGGTTACTACAAATGCACTGCTTACGAGAAAGTGCGATTGAAAATGATGTATAGAGGAATTTAATCTATTAACTTATTGAGTAAATTTATTATTTTGTGTCTGATCTGATATTAATATTAAGAAATATGCTGTAAAGTGTAAATCATACTAATGGGGATTCTAGTTTTATCTGTGTGAGATGAGTCCACAATATATTTAATTTGTCATGCCCGGCGAAATGATTAGGTAATCCTAGATATACGCTTCATTTGAGCAGAACTATGAGTACAATTCTATAGTATTCTGTAGCAAAACAAATAGTCTGTCATCACACCTTTTATAATGCAAGTTCACGCTTTTTTGCTGTGAATTATATTGGTATATGTTACACATTGTAGGCTTTTGCGATATTATTCTGTAACGTAATTGTAAATTTAATTTAGCATAAAAATGTCAATACGGTCTTGTTATATAATTATTCTGATTTTTGGTACTAGATGAAAGACTGCATTTCCATATACCCCAAAAATAAATAATGGAGAGAAACAGAACAAACAAGCAAACAACATTTACTTACCTACCAATATCCAGATCTATATACCACAACATTAAATATTTCCTTTTTTTATAGCATAATTATATTATTATATATTTATATATTTCCTCCGTACTAAAAGGTCGTCTGAAGCAGCATACATCCACAAGTCGTAACTATTAATAAAATCAAAACGATTGTTGTTTATAAATGTCGTGCAACCGGTAGGTAAAAAAAGAAGTATCTTTTTCTATGGATACCTACTTAAAACGCATAATTTTTGTCCTTCAGATCCCCATTTACTGGACACTTTCAAATTGGAAATGTCGCAAGGAATCGAGAGGTTTTTCCTGTTGTCCTACTGCCTGGCATGTTGCTGGCCCGGGCTGGGTGCCAAGAGTGACCTACGAGTGGTGAGACAATGGGCAGAACTCGACTTCGTGTTCCCCAGCGAGGAAGCCAAACAAATAGCTATTCAAAAGCGCTACTATGTTCCTGGAAATTCCGTGCCCATAGACGTCGATGTGCATCATAGACAAGGTATGTTTAATGAATGAATAGTAAGTAGGTTAGTCAAGATGAATAATTATAATGTTTAACTCATCCCGACCAGGAGCCATGTACGTTATAAAATTGCGTTCAGTCATTCAGGGAGGGGCTGCAATATTATGTAAAATTTCGGTGATCTAACTACGATAGCCAAGCCACCTCCGAAGATTGGGGATTATAACAAATTTCCTATTAACACGTTAAACGCCATGGGGGTCACCGGTGACCGGCGTTAGCGGAGGATTTACATTCAACAGTTTTTATTGGCAGTCAAAGTTTTAAGATACACGTCTTATTTCAATCGGAACGCATACCAGTTAATGATGATGATGAATGACTATAAAAATGAGATACCTATACAGGTTTTTATTGGCCAAGTACCTTATTGATGAGATTTGGTTTTTAGATAACATCGGTATAAAAGTTATAGTTAACTTAGCTAATAGTGTAGATTTGAAATATGTTGATTAAATACTACTTCATTAAATGAATAAAGACAACGTCTCCAGTTCACTTTTTACTCTAAAAGGAAATAGGTATATCTATTTATTGTTACCATAATATATGTTTTGTGTGATGACTTGTCACTCTTCTGGTCAATATACCTATCCATAGACAAAAGGCTATATGTATTCGCTATTCGCCATTGTGCTTCGGTTTCTCTGACCGCAAGAAGTAATTTATATTTTATTGTCATGATAGTGAAATTTAAGTTTAAAAACATTCACCTGTGATTGAACTCAGTCGTCATATCAAACATTAAACGACTAGTTTTCTGTATGCGGCTTCTCCCGTGTGGACTTTAAATGATCTTTCTTTTTAAAATACTATAATATTTCTCTTTAAAAGGCTTTGTAAAATAAAATAATTTTTCAAATCGGTCTAGTACTTTCAGAGTCTATTCCATGTTAACAAACATACAGTCAAATCTTTCGTCTTTAAAACAATAGTAGTAAGATACATGTGGAAACAGAACCGATATGATGTTAATTTGTAAAGTGACACCCACGTGTAGTGACCAGTGAGCAATGAGGCAACAGTTCAAAGTAAAACAAGCTAATTACGAAATGTCTCCTTTTCAATTAAATTGGAGAAGTTTGGCAACTGAATATACCTTATGAAGACTAGTGAAGCTAGTAAATTATCATTGTTATGTACTGTAATATAGAATGTTAATATAATTATGTAGTTGGTTTTCTATTATAGTGGACTAAACCACTTAGTTACAGTAAGTATACATTCACAGATATTTACCAGATGCGAGCGCGATTGAAAGTTTGACTCTAGGATTGATTATATTAAGTACTAGCTTCTGCCCGCGACTTCGTACGCGCAATCCATTCCCCCCGTTACCGTTCGTGATTTTTAGTAAAAGTAAAAAAAAAATATTAGATAAAAAGTATCCTATGTCCGTCTCCTGGTTCGAAGCTACCTCCCCATCAATTTTCATCCAAATCGATTTAGTCGTTCTTGAGTTATAAATAGTGTAACTAACACGACTTTCTTTTATATATATAGATTAGCTTCTGCCAGCGGCTTCGCCCGCGATCCCGTGAGATAGAAAGTAGCCTATGTGTTATTCCAGACCATACTCTATCCTTGTTTCAAATTTCATCTCAATCCCTTCAGTCGTTTTGACGTGAAAGAGTAACAAACACAAACGCACACACACACACACACACTCACATACATTGTCACAAGTTTTCGCATTCATAATATTAGTAGAATAATTATTGACCTGTTCCCGTCCATTTCTGGACACGAGTCTCTCCAATAGCACACCACTATGATCTTCAGATCTTCGTCACTGTTAGCCACCTCTCAAATATGTTACTGGTGAAAAGTAATCATTTCATTGGATATCCATACAAAGATACATTTTTTTTTTGTACTTTAACATGTTGTGTAAAGGTGTTACTTGTCATAGGGATAATTATGGGAATATTTTACACTATTTCGTTTTGGAAACAAGAATGACTGTTCGTTTTTAAACTGTTGTAATAGGTGCTTGTTAAACCGTAACGTTTAGTTTTTGTATGCGTAGGTCATTGGCTGATAAGTACAGGGGATTTTCGTTTTTTTACCAAACATTGAGTCGTAAATCTTGATATGTTATTACCGTGAGTTGTTAAGATTCTCTTGGGTTTATAAGTTAGCTGGTTTATATTAAAGTGCAATACAGCGTAGATTTATATAGTCCTTTTAATGTCTCTTGAATTCTAAAGAATATTTATTAGACTGTGGCTGATTTAATCCTTTTGTAGTAGATAATATTTTTATAGCGATAACTCCAAAAGATCTCCTCGGAAACAAGTTGACTTGTTGTTAATTAAACAAAAGACAGTCGTGGTTTAGGTCAATGGCGTATGGACAAAAGTATCTTATGTGCGATCTTTGTATAACGGCATTCTGCGAAGGGTTTGCTCTAACATTTCACCCATACATAGAACTTATGGATGCAAACAGATTCAATTCCAAGTTTCGTATTGACATGGATTTCTGAAACCAAAAAATATGGGAATGGAATTCCACACCCTTTACATTTTTAATAGAGTAAAACCTCGTAGTAAAGGCTGTTTTTTTGATAAATAAATGATGTCGAAGTTTTCGCCAAAACACCTCACATAAGTTACATTTTTGTTTTATGTATTTGGACACTAAATATTTGCTGTATTTAAGATACTGACCGCACCTTGTTAACCTTGAAACGACTGACTTTAGAGGAGTTTTTGATGACCCAAGACTTTAGAGTTCTTCATTTGTTTTATTTGAATAGAGAGACGATTATACCGGATTATTTTTTTAGATGCGTTAGCGTTTACTTAGGTATGGCCAATTCGATGACGCGCGTTAAGATCAAGATAAATCTTTATTGGTCAGTTAAGACAATGATTTAAATTCTTATTTTAACCTGTGAACACAAATAGATACAAATGAAAACTTTTACTGTACTCGATTCGGTGATGAATTCATGACTCACTCGTATTATTTTATTTAGTTTAGCACTTCAGCAGAAGTTCCGTATAGTCAAAGGCGTAAATAGGTATGCATAATACCTACACGTATGGTACCTATAAGTATCACTGGTCTTACTCGTTGTTCAAATGCTAGCATTTCCAGTGTCTTCAATAGATTATTCCAAAACCTCGTCTGTGTGATATCTAGGCTATAAAGTACATAGACTATAATTTTTGCTGAATTAAACTAATAAGATACATTTCTTATTTGCAGGACCATACCCATCCCGTATCTTCGTGACAAACCCTCGGTTTGATGTAGGTCGGCCGATCACATTGGGTACCGTGGATGAATCTGGCAAAATCGTCGCCTACCCAGACTACTCTTGGCATGACAACCAGGGATCCAACTGCGCCGGCATGTCCTCGGTCTTCAGAGTTGCTGTAAGTGAGATTATAGACACATGCTTATGCTTACTATCTTAGATCCGATTTTCGGTTCTAGCAAAAATTGGGTGCATTGGTGAATTTTATGTCTTAAAAAAATTATGTAAGTTATAAGGACTTACATATGATGTTTTACTGATGACATGAAAACCAGCCAAGCCTTGACTATGTCTATGATTGCATGTTAAGGAATAATCATAGTATCATAGGTTGAGTTCAAATCGTTTGCCATCCCATAAATGTCTATTTATAGTATCAAGTCACCTTGCCTCACCATAAATTAGATTATTGCTGTAAAAAAAGAAACAATATGAAGACACGAACCTTTTATTCCACTAATATTATATGAATGACCAGGCGGACAAGGCATACATTGCATATTGTGTTTTAAATCTATAACAAGCATTTCGCTACTTGCCCTATAAACTTCATGATAAAGATAGAAAGCCTATTTCAGACTACGTAGTATACGTACCTACCAATGTATAGGAAATGTGTAGATATTTATCTATTGAATATTATTTTCGGTATTCAAAAATTAAGCGTTACCACGCCAATATAAACCTTAATTAGGTATGTTAAGTGTTATGTAGTTTTCGTAATTAACAAGTGAACTGAAGATCAAGGGAAAACCTTGTATGTTCATACTAGTTCAATATAATCAACAATGGCCTTTGTTAACTTAACAACTCGGTTTATGGGTTTTATTGCATAGGTACAGTCACCAAAGTTCTTTGATATGCAGGTTAGAAAATAAAGAGTGATTCAATACAGAGACAGTAACCACTAACCATTGGCTACGACTGAAGCTACCAATACAAAAGATACGGCTTCATAAAAATATACAATGAGACTAGGCAGCAGCGCTGATAAACCTTTTAAATTATAATATCCAACCAGTCTGGCAAGTGTGGAGATTATACTAAATGACAGCAGTGGACTGTCGCAGGGTTTTGATGCGAATACATCAAGGACTTGGTATGAATATACCTGCAGACGAAGTAAATTGTTTGACTGTACCTAGGTACAGATGTCCTCTGAAGAATATCTAAGAATAACTTAGTATTTCCGTGTCTGACGTAAGTATGGTTTAAGTTAGGTAACTTAGGAGAGGATGTACCTGTGCCTAGGTCTAGAACACGCGATGAATAGAAGAAGCATAATTGTGATTTCTTGTAACAGGATTTATGATTTCACCATTATAATTGAGTAGGTATTGCGATTATGGTCGCTTTTTTCTGCTTCTTGATATCAGGCAATCTTGTGACGAAGGTCCTTTGAGAATTATTATTCCTATTGATAACGATTACAACTTTGATTCCGGGTTGTTACTGGAGATGTTTTGAAAGAGACGATACTCATTTAAACTGAAAATGTTTGTTTATCTGTAAGATCTAATAGTAAATTATATATTGACACAATTATAGGTACTTTCGATCTAGAGGCAATATTGCTCAATATGGAGTTATGACATATGGTCTAAAAACAAACATTTATGAAATATTGCACAACAATTAAATTCTGTACATAATAATAATTATGTATGTACAAACTAGTTCAAACAGCTTGTATTATTTTCTTAGAATCAATAGTTCACATGTATTTTCCAGTCAAGTCACATCTTAGTAAAAAGCGGAGGATGTGACGAGTATATTTCCTTTGCCTTTAAAAGTCATTAACAAGTAAAAAAACAAAGAAATCAGTGACATCACCAGTGGTTCCGCAGGACAATAGACCCGGATTTAACGGTAGCTTAAAATGAATTTGTTTTGTGGTCACATTCGACTAACACGAAATTGTATCCATATTATACAAGTATATTGGGTATACTTGTACCTCTATAATAAATATGGGTTTACGTGAAAATAATTCCGGGAGTTTTGAAAATCGTCATTTTTTAATTTTGATATGTGCTCTTTCCGATATCCATTTTGCACCTTTGTAGGTTTATACGTGCGCCGCTCGTCGCTATCTTGGAATAATAGCGGCGAAATACAGTTTTTTTACAATATCTCTTTTTTGTGCACTGTACGAGAAAATCGTTAACTACAAAATTGTACTAACTGCTCACATTTTTCTACAATTTATGTCTGAACAGCTTTTTTGTAAAATACGTAGTTTTGGCACCAGTACATCGCAATGTACATTTTTTCCATAAATAAAAATTTATTTATAGCTTTTCACGGTGCTTTGATGATCATTTAATTTTCTAGTAATAAAACTAATATGAATGATAAACTATAAATGATAAACTTTATGCTAAAAATGCTATTATCCTTATTTCAGATAGATGAATGCCAGCGACTATGGGTCATGGACGCTGGTAAGATCGAAGACAAGCAAGTGTGCCCTCCTCAGCTGCTTGCCTTCGACCTGGCGACCGACCAACTCATCTACCGCCATGTCGTCAACTCTTCAAACTATGTGGAACAGTCCCTGTATGTCACACCTGTGAGTAATTGTCAGTTAAATAATATAAACATACGAATATTTCATTTTATACAAACAAGAGTAATATAAATAAGCATAGATATACCATATTCTATTTAAATTCAAAATTATACCTTAGTATTAATTAAAAATAGTCTAATATAACATTAATTTCAGATTGTGGACGTGCGTCCTCGCGGGCCGGGTGATTGTGCAGACACATTCGTATATGTAGCTGATGTGTCGGCCTTCAGTATTCTAGTGGTCGATGTGATGAGAAACCAGGCCTGGCGCACCACTCACCGACTTTTCTATCCCTTCCCGTCTCGAGGAACTTTCACTATTGATGGTTAGTAATGACACCTATTTATTAGGTTTTACTGGTCATGAGTTAAATAAAGCGAGATTTTTTCCTAAATCCTATAAATATCCATTAAATATGCAATACCGTATTACAAGCCAACACGTTAATCGTCAACGGCCAGTGACAATCCCTTGCGCTATGACCCCTCATTTTTTAATATAAAAATAACAATTTGTTTTAGGGGAAAGCTTTGACCTGATGGACGGTATATTAGGTATGGCTCTCTCACCATACCATCCCGGCAGAGATCGCTTCCTCTACTTCCACTCGCTCGCTGCCACTACGGAGAACGTAGTGAACACGAAGGTTCTCAGGAACAATTCTTACATGCATGACCCTAGCATTGACCCAGACGCAATTTATGTAAGTAAATGCCTATACGTTTTATGGTTTTATATCTGATCTAAATGTCAGACGAAGTATCGAAGAGAAGGAAAACGTCACGAAAGATCCTGATTCGGCTAAAATATTAAATGTTATCATTCATTTCAGGTTTTCCCGAAACAACGCTCATCACAATCAGCAGCTGAAGCCATAGACCGCAACGGCATTATGTACTTCGGTCTCATGGACCCACCCAGTATTCTGTGTTGGAATACTGCCACCGAATTCTCTTCTCAAAATTTCCACACAGTAGCTGCCGATAGGGAAACCTTACAGTTCGCAAGTGGTGTAAAAATTGTATTAAACGCCAGAGGAGAAGAGGAACTTTGGGTGTTAACATCAAGTTTTCAAAGATTAATGACAGGAACGCTTACATCGGACAGAATAAACTTCAGGATACATGCTGAGAAAGTTCCAATAATCTTAGCGAACTCACCGTGCAAAGATTCCCCAAATGGTCGAAAGGGCTATCATGCCAACCTCGTCGACAGGTCCTCGGACGGTCACACGTATCGGCCGAGCAGATATGGCAGTGCCTCGTATCTGTAGAGATTAGTGCCATGTCAGACCGATTGCTCAGGAAATTTGTGAGAAATAATATGCCATAAGACAGAAGTTACTTCATTGTCATCATAAGTTGCTCAGAGTTCTTTCTTATAAATATGGTTACGGTGTAGCCAGGTGAAACCATGTAGTGGCATCTTAATAAATTTAAAATTTGATAAATTTTCGTAATTTATTTAATAACTGGCACGTAATCTGTTCTTAACCTTACCAGAGAAAGTTTTCTAAACACGCTGTTGTGTTTTTATTTTATGTAAAACTATAAAAAGTTTGTAACATGCTTGAACACCAAAGTCATTCCTTAAATTATAATGTCCCGTTAATATTTCATGTTATGTTAGTTACCTATGTTATGTAACCGATTTAATATTAAATAATAAAACGATTTAAATATTATTCCGATTTTACTTTCATAATACCCATTTCATGATTGTACATGGTTAGTATAGTCTAACAGGTAACCGGGGCTCTGGCTCGACGTGTAGGAGAAGGAATGGGGTGGTTTTTAGTCAGTAAGAGTCTGACACTCCCTTCCACCTCACCCAGGCGGGAGTAGTCATTCGATGATGTTCCCCCCTTAAAAAAAAAGTATAATTGTGGTTATGTTGATAACTATGAAAGGTTTATTCTGTGTGATTAAATTATATTTATGTGTATTAAATAATATGTGATGTGAATTAAATAATATAACGATTATGTGAAAGTTATTTGTTAAATCAATTTCTGTATCAATTCACACAAAAATACATGAAATACTTTAGATTAGAAATTAAAAGCAAATGTCACAGTAAAATCAATTTATTAACTAAATCTATACAGGCTGTTTAAGTAATTCGCGATACTTATTTAGACTCCTTGCGATGCTGAGATCGACGTGTTTGTTCTCAAATCCGACAATAATACCACCAATGATATCTTCGGATATTTTTTCTGTGACTTGTATTTTTTGTCAGACTTTATATTTTTTTGCAAGATTGCCCTTAGTGCACGCTTGCGATTACCTCACATAGAGCCTCATTTCTGTGGGCGACCATCATAGTATAGTACAGGTTCATCATACTACGCAAATGCTTCAGACGACCATTCTCAGCTACTATGCCAAGGAAGTTGATTGCTGTTCGTGGCATTTCTGAATTAAACACAGATGTTTTTTTAATTTTTATCTACTTCCAATTCAATTAATGTAAATTACTACCACCAGACATGTAGCAGCAATTATAAAGCACAAAAACTAGTTATAAAAACTGCAGATGTCACCACGAATAGTAATGCACATTTGATGTCCCCGATGAATTCAATGTTTTACGAATTTTAGTGTGGACGAAAAATGTTTAGAATTCTAACAATAGGAGTTATCTACTACATATGTACCTCTAGCTGTCGCAGAGAACCTAACGGGTTACCGGGGCTCCGGGTCAAAGCGCAGGAGAAGGAACGGGGTGGTTTTTAGTCAGTAAGAGTCTGACACTCCCTCCACTCCACTGATACAGCAGTCATAAGATGATTTTCCCCCCTTAAAAAAAAACTACATATGTAGCTACATGTGATATAGAGAACTACATCGTACAATATACAATAGGAGCATCATCACATCCATATAGAACAAGTGGAACAGAAGTACTTATTTTTATTCCAAGAGATTATCACTTACTATGCCTTCATGCAGACAGCGACATGTAATAAAAAATGTAGGACTACCTGCATAGTATAATTAGTAATTATAAAATTGAAGAAATATAGTAAAAGCACTTATTTGCTACTTTACTGATAGGTAACTTAGCCTTAACTGGTCGAGGTATAAGATTTGTTGCTATGAAGTCTACAACCTTAGGCCGAGTCAGCACTTTCTGGAAGTCACGTAGACTATTCTCTACAGCCCCAACTCATGATTTTGGTAAGCTGCACTATAGAGAGCGCTCACGGAGCGACCTTCAAAACCTTTGGGGGGGGGGGGACAATTTTATTTAGGAATCATTATTATCATTAAAGTACATGTCTATAAGTTAGCTAAATATTTTTTGTTTTCATGATGCAAGTTGCGAATTTCTAATTGTTGTGGCAATCAGCTACTTAAATATTAATTTAGGTATTTATTTATTTTTACTGGAAATTTGAACAATCTGTTTAAATCTTGAGTGAAGAAATGAATTCGTACTTAAATTTTCTGTACTTTATATTTTATTCAGATGCAACACTGCATACGGGCCACCTAATACTAAGCCGTTCACGAAGTCTATCATATACATATGTCGCGGAGAACCTAACGGGTAACCGGGGCTCCGGCTCGACGTGCAGGAGAAGGAACGGGATGGTTTTTAGTCACTAAGAGTCTGACACTCCCTCCCGCCTCACCAACCGTAAACAAAGTTGACACCATCTTTAAAAACTCCAGACACGTAGTGAGGATAGCGGGTTAGTTTATTTCTAAGTACAAGCACCTTTACTCCAATTGCTGCAAATTTTATACCGACTTTTCTTATCCAGTAGGTAATTAGCTAATATATGTATATCACTAAAACTCGTTTAGATACAGTAACTAGTTCGTTGCACATATAAAGATAATAAAAGTAATACATAAATTAACTTTTATGTCGAATTGTTAATTTTAGAAATGATTAACATACAATAAGTACGTACCCTAGTGTAACATACACTAGGGTAGTTGTTCCCATTTCTTAAATTATTAATTCTATGTTGGAAGTCAGCGTAAATGGACCATATATCTAGCTTTTTTCGAAATCTTCTAGGTGCCCACTCCTGCTTCGCACGTACCGCCTCAGTGTCAGTAAGCTTAGAGCTGATATTCCCCAATTTTCTTTTAAAGAATTGGCGAAACAAAATATTGTAATTCCTTTTCATAAGTATAGATTTATTTAAGTCTTCTGTTCAGATCATTTATATAGTATGTGCTTATTGTTATCACTTTTTATTAGTTACCATAACTTCATATAAAAAAAACTAGCTAGTATGGAACTTTTTGGTCGGAAATCGGCCGGAATTACATGTATAAGTACTTAGCAGTTTTAGTTTAAAGAATTAGAAATTAATAATTACTTACTACACTAATAAAATAATCGGTTTATTTAGGTATTAGGATCAAAGTAGCCTCGTATATAACTCTATATATTTTTAGAAGTACATTCATATGCATTTTCGATTATATTTGTATCAAGTGTGTTAGCAACGTGTTTGTTTAATTTATTTAAATTTATTCATTCAGTATGACAATAAGTGATTACATATAGATAAGTTTATCGTTATTGACAGTACATAAGCGGTTGGGAGTTCAAAAGTATTCATTGGTACATCGTTTTCCGTGGTGAGTGTTAAATAGTTTATCTTTGGAAGTACGATTCAATGAACTTAAACTTTTCTTTGTGTCTTTCGTTTCGTCCGGTCGGCTCCATCATCACGATCAATATATCTAGGACCCCAATTAGTTATCACCGTGGTTTGGGGTTCTAAAATGTTGGAACATGACTGCAAGAAGAATATCTCGAATAATAAAATTATCGGAAAATGAGCTAAGCAATATTCATTAGGACATATTCATAAAATTAAGGGGAAATGGGGGACGTCGTAATGACGCGCGACGTGCATGATGTTAAAAAGATTGTAGGATGTATATAAGATAAGGAAAGGTAATGGTCCCTTAAAAGTCTTTTAAAGATTGGGATGGATTTAGAGTCATGGATGTTAGGTGGTAGGGAATTCCAAAGTCGCACAGCATGAACAGTGAAGGAAGTAAAAGTCAGTATTGTGTGAGACAACAGAAAGATTAGATTTAAGATGAGATCGGGAAAGAGCTTCAGGAGGGCTGGCAACGGAAAAACGTTCGCGAAGGTAAGAGGGATAATCAGGATTAAAAAGTATATTGAAAAGTAGACATAGGATGCGAGTGTTCTATGATTTCACAGGAAGTCGGATTAGGAGCCACTTGAGCCTTTTGCGAAATTTAGAGACATTATCATACTTTTTTAAACCAAAGCCAAAGCGTATATACACATTTTGTAAGCGCTTAAGTTTATTTAGAAGCTCTTCAGTGGCATCCAAATAGGAAGCATCACCGTAGTCGATCAATGGACGGTTCAAGACTGCATTAGGTGGATCTTCATTTTCAGAAGTAAGAGGGACTGGAGACGGGTCAGCGAATGCAAAGAGAAATGAACTTACTTAACGACGGATAAGCGATCTGTTTAGTACGTTATAACTGTCATTTATAATTTATTTTAGCATAATTTTATGGAGCACATGACCATTTTAGCAGTGTACTGTTCTGTTTTGTTTAAAATTTTATTTTGTAGCGCGTATGCACGTAATGACGCCTAGGTGACACGATTGGTACTATATGACGAGATAGTGCATTGCAGTAAACAGTGTAAATTTTTAAAAAGTTTATCGTGAACTGACATTTCATCTGGGCATTATATTCAAAGATATTAAATATTCCCTCCTTATTAAAACGTCGTCTGAAGCAGCATACATGCAGAAGTCTCGAAATTATTTTTTAAAAAAGAAGCTACTTTTCTATTACCTACTTAAAACGCATATTTTTTTACCTTCAGGTCCACATTTACCGGACTCTTTCAAATTGGAAATGTCGCAAGGAATCGACAGGATTTTCCTGTTGTCCTGCTGCCTGGCATGTTGCTGGCCCGGGCTGGGTGCTACGAGTGACCTACGAGTGGTGAGACAATGGGCAGAACTGGACTTCGTGTTCCCCAGTGAGGAAGCCAAACAAATAGCTATTCAAAAGCGCTACTATGTACCTGGAAATTCCGTGCCCATAGACGTCGATGTGCATTATAGACAAGGTATGTTTAATGAATTAAATAGTAAGTAGGTTAGTCAAGATGAATCGTTATAATGTTTAACTCACCCCGACCCGGACCCAGATATGTCATGAAATTGCGATCAGCCACTCAGGTAGGGGCAACCGTATCATCTATCGGAGATAAAACTGCAATTACCAAGTCACCTGCGAAAATTGGGAATTATGTTCTCCTTGAAGGAGATATTTTCTGAATCGTGCACACGTACCGTATTGATGACATTTGGTTTTTTAGATAAGGTCGATCTACGTGGCTAATGGTGTAGATTTTAAAAAAGATGAATACGTCTTCAGTTCACGTTTTACTCTAACAGGAAATATCTATTTACTGTTACCATAATTTATGTTCTGTGTGATGACTTGTTACTCCTCTGGTTAATATATACATAAACAAAAGGCTATACGTATTGTATTCGCTATTCGCTATTGTGCTTCGATTTATATGACCGTAAGAAATAATTTATATTTTATTGTCATGATAGTGAAATTTAAGCTTAAGAACATTCACCTGTGTTTGAACGCAGTTGTCGTATCAAACATTAAACGACTAGGTTTCTGCATGCGGCTTCTCCCGTGTGAAGCATTGTTATGTACTTCATATATATACTTAGTTGGTTTTCTATTATAGTGGATTAAACCACTAAATTACAGTAAGTAGGTATAGGTACATTCACAGATATTTACCAGACGCGCGTTTGAAAGTTTGACTCTACACTTAAGCATATAATGTAGTATCATCCGTCTGTTTTCGTCCATTTCTGGACATCAGTCTCTTCTATTTTTATTAGAGTGACTTGTTAAAATAATCTTAGCTTCATAAGTTAGCTATTTTTTTAATTAAGTGTAATACAATACAGTCTTTTTAAGGACTCGTGAATTCTAGAGAATATATTCTGGCCTGTAATAAATTCAATCCTTTAGCAGTAGTACCATAAACTGGTATTGCTCTTAGTTTAAATGCTAGTAGAACATTTTTAATGTCATCAATAGATTTTCATCAATATTTTAAAACCACGTCTGTGTGATATCCTGGCTATAAAATAAAGTACATAGACTATATTTTATGCTGAATTAAACTAATATGATGCATTTCTTATTTGCAGGACAATACCCATCCCGTATCTTTGTGACAATCCCTCGGTTTAGTGAAGGTCGGCCGATCACATTGGGTACCGTGGATGAATCTGGCAGAATCGTCGCCTACCCAGACTACTCTTGGCATGACAACCAGGGATCCAACTGCACTGGCATGTCCTCGGTCGTCAGAGTTGCTGTAAGTAAGATTATAAATGTCTATGATCTTAACTATATCCGATTTTAAGTTCCAGCAAGGTGTTCGTTATTGAATTTTGACCATAGCCTAAAGCCTATTATACAGATTTCATTATATTACCTTTTATACCTATGAGATTTATGCTAGCAGTTCCTAGTGGTAAAAATTGACGAATTTTATAAGCGATATGCTTCATACAGCACCGCCAGTTACAAAAAATTGCGAAATTAAGTAATAGGTAAGTACTTGCATATAATTTTTTACTGATAAGAAGAAAACCAGCAGAGCTGTGACTATGTCGATGATTGCATGTTATGAAATAGTAATCATAGGTTAAGTTTAAAACGTTTGCCATCCCGTATTTATTTATATTATGTCAAGTCGCCTTGGCTCACCATAAATCATTTTGCTGATAAAAAATAAAAAGTAACAATATGAAGACACGAACCTTTTATTCCTCTATTATAAGTTAGATTCGTGTGTCGTGGTGGCCTGGAGGTTTAAGACTCCCGCTTCTCATGCATGAGGGTACAGGTTCCAAACCTACCAACGGCAAGTACCAATGTGACTTTTTCCGAGTTATATGTACTTTCTAAGATTATCTAGACACCACTGACAAACGGTGAAGGAAAACATCGTGAGGAAACCTGGGCTTATAATTTCTATTATAAGTTTGTAATCGCCAACCCGCATTCAGCAAGCGTGGTGATTAATGCTCAAACCTTCTCCGTGTGAGAAGAGGCTTTGCTCAGCAGTGGGCATTTATAGGCTGTTGATGATGATGATGATCATGAAGTTAGATTCTACAGGTGACTTATAGCTCGACGTATTCCTCTCAGGTGGTGATAATACAACTCCTACAAAATTAACCCTGGGGTGTCTGGTCCGAAAGTGGCTAGTCTCTGAGATTTTCAACTTTTTCGGTTTTGCTGAAAAAATCCCGATCTAACTACAAAAACATCAATTAATAAAAAACTACTGGTTCTATTTAAGTGATTTCAGTTCTAATTTATTACTAATACATCAATAAACATTTATTAATACTAATAATTTCAGAAATATTATTCATTTTAAAATAGCAAGTACATTTATATAAAGTTTTGTTTTAAGTAACTAATTTGGTCAACAGGTCAACTGGATTAATTTTTAAAAAAATATATTACACTAATCGTACAAACTATTAGAAAAACTTTTTCGGTTTATTAGCTAGCCAAAAACACTAAATTATTTATTAAATTCTCAAAAATGAATTAATAATTTGATGATAAGTAAAGTGTAAAGGTAAACGCGCAATTTCAAAAACATTATGTACTAAATTTTGTTCAAAGTGACCTTTCCTTTCGGTATGATGAATACATACCCGCACACGCTTCCTTATCTCTGTATCGGTCACTTTTGAACTGAATGAGCGTCTTATTTCTTCAGCCGCTTCAATTATATTTTTTTATTCTTTGAAAATCGTTGCCCCACACTAGGATTTTCTCCCGTATCGTGGGTGCGTTTACAAACATACAAGTTCACATACACATGACACCCAGACCCAGACCAGACCGTTTTTACAATATCTCTTTTCCTGTGCATTCCACAAGATAAACCGTTAACAACAAAATTAAACTACTCACAATTTTCTACAATTTATGTCTCGACAGTTTTTTTTGTAAAATAAGTAGTTTTCGCGCGAGAACAGCGCAATGTACATTTTACAATGATGCTTTTGCTTTTATAATTATATCTAATATCTAGTAATAAAACAAATATGAATGACGAATTATAAATGATGAACTTTCATGCCAAAAATGCTATTATCCTTATTTCAGATAGATGAATGCCAGCGACTATGGGTCATGGACGCAGGTGTAATCGGAGGTAAGCAAGTGTGCCCTCCTCAGTTACTCGCCTTCGACCTGGCGACCGACCAACTCATCTACCGCCATGTCGTCAATTCCTCAAATTATGTGGAAAAGACTCAGTATATCACACCTGTAAGTAATTGTCAGTCAAATATTCGAATAAAATAGTTATTATTATTTTTAATCGGATTAAAAATAGTTTATATATAACATTAATCTCAGATTGTGGACGTGCGTCCTCGCGGGCCCGGTGATTGTGCAGACACATACGTGTACGTAGCTGATGGGTCGTCCTTCAGTCTTCTAGTGGTCGATGTGGCGAGAGACCAGGCCTGGCGCACCACTCACCGACTGTTCTACCCCTTCCCGTCTCGAGGAAATTTCTCTATTGATGGTTTGTCTGTAGAATTATGCTGGTTTTGAGAATTTTTTCCTAAATCCTATAATTATACATTAAATACGCAATACAAGCATAGGACTCTCGTGCTGGACGAGGCTGACCGTATGCTGGACATGGGTTTCGAGCCTCAGATTCGCAAGATTGTCGAGAGCCACACGATGCCAAAGACTGGCGAGCGCCAGACGCTCATGTTCTCGGCGACTTTCCCTAAACAAATCCAAGTGCTAGCGCAGGATTTCTTATATAATTATGTTTTTCTTGCTGTTGGACGCGTCGGTTCCACATCTGAAAATATCACCCAGAAGGTGGTATGGGTGGAGGAAATGGATAAGCGTTCTTTCCTGTTGGATTTGCTGAATGCTTCCAACTTACTGCAACGTGCACGCCCGGAAGAGGATCAACTGATCCTTGTATTCGTTGAAACGAAGAAAGGTGCCGACCAACTGGAAGTGTTCTTGGATAACCTTGGTTACCCAGTCACGTCCATCCACGGCGACCGATCCCAGCGCGAGCGTGAAGAAGCTTTGCGCCGGTTCCGTTCCGGACAGACACCGATTCTTGTCGCTACCGCCGTCGCGGCCAGAGGTTTGGACATACCGCACGTGCGTCACGTGATTAACTTTGATTTGCCGTCGGACGTTGAAGAGTACGTGCACCGCATCGGTCGTACCGGCCGTATGGGTAACCTGGGCGTGGCCACGTCCTTCTTCAACGACACTAACCGTGGCCTCGCGCGGGACCTCGTTGAGCTCCTCGTTGAGGCAAAGCAGGATGTGCCAAATTGGCTGACGAGCACGGCAGCTGATGGGCGCCTTGGTGGCGGCGGACGTCGGACTGGAAGCGGGTCTGGCGGGGGACGATTTGCAAGCAGCGGCAGTGGCTTTGGCGCTAGAGATTTCCGTACTCAATCGCGTCAAACTCCACGATCGGCAGGGCCATCAACTATTGGTTCTGGGTTCGGATACGGCGGCGGGTCGTACGGCGGTAACTACGGCGGGTCGTACGGCGGCGGCGGCGGCGGCGGCAGCAGCGGCGGCCCCGACTGGTGGGACTCGTAAGCGTCCGCTCGCACTCCGCAGACCTCGCACCGCACGCGACCCCGTACTCGACCCCTTCATTCGTAACTTAAGCGATGTGAAACGTTCTAGATTAATATATTTTATTTTAATTCGTAAACTGATAGTTGGACTGAAATTGACCTGTGACTATTTAATACGGTAATGTTTGTACAATAGAAGAGAGCGGTGCGACAGAGAGATGTGTTTGGGCGCGGCCGGCCGCGGGCGCTGAATCTCAGGTGCGCTGCCCGGTGGTCCGGCCGAGCCTTGTTTCTTAACTTCATACTATCACCATGGACATGCTTAACAAATGTCTGTGAATATATTCCGCGAGAATGGTAGTTCGCGATCATTAATGAAGTAATCGATTAGATTAAATTTGATCACATGTATCGTTTGCGTCACGCGCGACGTGACTCGCACGTTTTGTCTTTTTTAGTAACGATTATGTGAAAGTAGTTTATTAATATAGAAATATTTTTGATGTCCGATCTGTATCGTGAATTCGTAAGTGAACAATGTAATTGTGTATTTTCGATTTTCTATTTTCTGAAGGTCTCATAGCTGAACTCACTCATGACACTGGAATTTTGAAGCATTTACGCACTCTAAAATCGATGTAGCTAATGGAGCAGTAGATTTAGAAATTGAAAAGTACCGATACAGTATCATAGAAAATAATTACTAAATTTTATCAGTAGAGATCCCATATTGTAATATCTGTCTTCGACGTGATCTATTATTTGAATGTGAATTTATAGGTGTTAAATCATTAATTATCATGAAATACCAGTGACAATTCCCTGTGCTCTGACTCCTCGTCTTTATAATACAATAATGACAATTTGTTTTAGGGGTACGCTTCGACGTGATGGACGGTGTATTAGGTATGGCTCTCTCACCATACCATCCCGGCAGAGATCGCTTCCTCTACTTCCACTCGCTCGCTGCCACTACGGAGAACGTAGTGAACACGATGGTCCTCAGGAACAATTCTTACATAAATGCTCCTAGTATTGACCCAGACGCAATTTATGTAAGTAAATGCCTATACATTTTATGTTTTTATATCTTACCAAGACGTCACGAAAGATCCTGATTCGGCTTAAAATATTAAATGTTATCATTCATTCCAGGTCTTCCCAAAAGAACGCTCATCTCAATCAGCAGCTGAAGCCATAGACCGCAACGGCACTATGTACTTCGGTCTCATGGATCCACCCAGTATTCTGTGTTGGAATACTGCCACCGAATTCTCTTCTCAAAATTTCCACACAGTAGCTGCCGATAATGAAACCTTACAGTTTGCAAGTGGTGTAAAAATTGTATTAAATGACAGAGGAGAAGAGGAACTTTGGGTCTTAACATCAAGTTTGCAAAGATGAATGACAGGAACGCTTTCATCAGACAGAATAAACTTCAGGATACATGCTGAGAAAGTTCCAACAATCTTAGCGAACTCACCGTGCAAGAATTCCCGAAATTGTCGAAAGGGATAACATGCCAAACACGTTGACAGGTTCTCAGATAATCACACGTATCGTGAAGTGGCATCTTAATGATAAATCGTAATTTATTTACTGGCACGCAATCTGTTCTAACTGAAACCTTAGCTTAGATTTTTTATAAACATACTTGTTGTGTTTTTATTTTATGTAAAACCATTAATTTTTTGTAACAATCTTGAACACCCAAGTCATTCCTTAAATTGTAATGTCCCGTTAATATTTCATGTTATGTTAGTTACCTACACTGGCCAGCAAATAAATCGAGCCACCCGCTACCTAGGAACTCTGATTCGATTTTCTAAAAAAGTATAAAACTTACAACTATCAAAGTTATACCTACAAAAAGTGCGTTTCATGGTGGTTAAAATGACTATAGATTAATTCAAAAGTACCGTCAACTCACATTGTAATCAAGCAACAAACACAATGCTAATGATTTGCTCTGTTTTCACCAGAGATTGAAATTAGCGTTCTTTTTGTCTACAATGAGGGTAGTCGGATATTTCCTATCATTTCTTTATTTTTTCTCCATCGTTTGCTCAGACGCGTGTGTTTTTGCTACTTTTTCCGATTAATAATGGATACAACATCTCAGGAAGCAGCTCAAGCTGTAGCATTACTTCAAGCAGGCATTGCGCAACGTGAAGTCGCTCGAAGGCTTCGAATCAGCAGATCTTCGGTGCAACGAGTTTACAGACGATACCTAGAGACTGGAGCATTCGATCGCCGTCCAGGTACGGGCAGACCTAGGGCTACATCAGCAGCAGATGATCGTTATATCCACCTTAATGTTCTGCGAAATCGCCACCTCAACGCAGTTCAAGTCCAACAAAGTCTGCGTGACGAACGCCAAGTGGTCATAAGTTCAGATACCGTCAGAAGAAGACTTGCTGAACGGAACCAGACCCCAAAAAGAGCTGCAACAGGCCCAGCATTAACGGTAGCACACCGTCGAACACGGCTTGAATTTGCTCGAGAGCATAGGGATTGGACATTAGAGCAGTGGAGTAATGTACTCTTCACTGATGAGACCAGGGTGAGTCTACATGGAAGTGATCGACGTCAGAGAGTATATCGTCGCCCTGGAGAACGTTATTCTCAGTGTTGCATCGAGAAAACTGTTGCTTATGGAGGAGGATCTGTAATGGTCTGCGGTGGCATCTCGTTAACAGCACATACAGCGTTAGTTTTCATTGAACCGATGGGCCGTACACGTGGATTGATTTCTCATCGCTACATTACTGAAATCCTCGCAGACCATATGGTACCTTATGCAGGATATATCGGCCAGGATATGCAATTGATGCATGATAATGCACGGCCTCATGTTGCTCATGTGGTGACCCAGTATCTAAGCGACGTCAGCATTCGTACGATGGACTGGCCAGCTCGAAGCCCGGACTTGAATCCGATAGAACACTTATGGGATGAGCTGAAACGTCGGGTTCGGGGCCGGGTACCTGCTCCAACAAGGCTTCCAGAACTGCGAATCGCAATTAAAGAGGAGTGGAATACAACTCCTCAAGATTTTATCGTCAGGCTCGTAAGGTCGATGAATACAAGGATGCTGGCAGTTATCCGAGCAAGGGGAGGGAATACGGAATATTGATCAAAAACTTTTTTTATTTTATCTTTGTTTTTGGCTTTAATTTTTTTTTTCACTTTATCATTACTAAAGATTGTCACTACTGGAAAACGACTCTTCTTTGTAAAATCCTTAATAAACACTGAAATATTGATTAAACCCAATGAGTTTTCTTTCATTTTAATCACCATGAAATGCTCTTTCTGTACGTACAACTTTGATAATTGTAGGTTTTTTAGTTTTTGAGAAAATCGAATTAGAGTGCCTAGGTAGCGGGTGGCTCAGTTTATTTGCTGTCCAGTGTATATTATGTAACCGATTTAATATTAAATAATAAAACGATTTAAATATTATTCTGATTTTATTTTCATAAAATACCCACTTTATGATTGTAAATGGTTAGTATAGTTGTGGTTATGTTGACGACTATGAATGGTTTAACCCGTCGTGTCTAAACGTGGATCCACGTGAGACACAGTGTGTTTTCTATTGTGTCTCATATACAGGGATTCAAGCGGTTAATCTGAATGTATATTTTAGTGAAAGTTGGTTTTTAAATCAATTTCTGTACATAAAAAAAAACCAATAAAAAATACATGAATAGGTACCTCTTTAGATTAGAAATTAAAAGAGAATATCACAATAAAATCAATTTATTAAACCAAAACTATACAGGCTGTTTAAGTAATTCGCGATACTTGTTTAGACTCCTTGCGATGCTGAGATCGACGTGTTTGTTCTCAAATCCGACAATAATACCACCAATGATATCTTCGGATATTTTTTCTGTGATTTGAATTTTTTTGCCAGACTTAACAAACTTTTGCAAGATATCCCTTAGTGCACGCTTGGTACGATTGTCTAGTGGTTCAGCGGTGATCACCTCACATAGAGCCTCATTTCTGTGGGCGACCATCACAGTATGGTACAGGTTTATCATACGACGCAAATGCTTCAGACGACCATTCTCAGCTACTATGCCCAGGAAGTTGATTGCTGTTCGTGGCATTTCTGAATTAAAACACGAATTTTTTTATGATTTCTATCTAATTTTAATTCAAGTCATGTAAATTACTACCACCAGACATTGTCAATGTGCTTTACATATTTTATTGCACATGAGAATGTAGTAGCAATTTTAAAGCACAAAAACTAGTTGCCCGTATAACTGTAGACTGTAGATGTCACCACCAATAGAAATGCATACATACATTTGATGTCCCCAATCAATTTCATTGTTTCACAAATTTAAGTGTGGAATATTAGACATATTTGGAATTCTAACAATACCCAAGAGCTTTTCACTTCATTATCAACAGCCTGTTTTCGTCCACTGCTGGACATAAGCCTCTCCAATGGCACGCCACTGAGCTCGATCTTCAACTCCACGCATCCAACCACTACCAGCCACTTTACGTATATCGTCACTCCACATTACTGGAGGGGCTCCCTCCAGTTAGACTACGTTTGCCTAGACGCGGTCTCCACTCCACAACACGTCTACTCCAGCGGTCATCGGCTCTTCGACAAATTAATGTTACCAGTTCACTGCTAGCTGCATACGACGGATTATACAAAAATTCGCCTGCGCCATGTACACAAATATGTAGCTACATGATATTTGAACTCCAAGAGATTATTACTTACTATGCCTTCATGCAAATAGCGGCATGTAATGTAATGTAGAACTATCTACATAGTAGTATAATAATTATAAAGTAAAATAAGTATAGCAAAATCACTTACTTGCTACTTTACCGATATCCATAAGTAACTTAGCCTTAACTGGTCGAGGTATAAGACTTGTTGCTATGAAATCTACGACCTTAGGCCGAATCAGCACTTTCTGGAAGTCACGTAGACTATTCTCTACAGCCTCCAATTCATGATTTTGGTGAGCTGCACTATAGAGGGCGCTCACGTAGCGTCCTTCTAAACCTTTGGGTGGGAACATTTTTTTTTAAGAATCTTTATTTACATGTCAATAAGTTAGCTACTGTACTAAGAAAGTTTTGCTTCTTTTATGTTTCTCTAACATCAAGGTTTTTATTTCTTCAGTACCTACATATTAATTATTAATATTATTATTAACTACCACATTACAACCTGAATTATTTCAATGTCAATGAAAGTTGTAACGGCATCTTGGTTAGTGAGTATCCTTGTCTTTGGAAATTTTGGTCAAAAAATAATGAATGGAATGTTGCAAAAGAGTTTTTTCTTATGTAAACAGCAACTTAATATTTCTTTAATATTGTAAATGTGAACGTCTCTTTGTATGTTTGTCCGTCAATCACGCTAAAACTAATGAACGGATTTTGATGAAATTTTATTGTATACCTACAGGCAGAGTATGGGCTGACATAGGTGACATGATACTTTTACCACGATTAAATGCTCCATGGAATAAAATAGGAATCATATTGTACGCGGACGAAGTTGCGGGCAATAGGTAATAAAAAATATGTTATATAAAGGTCTACCAATTTGCGCTCGATATGAATTTTATGGACTTTGATAAATCTACATGGAAAGAAGATAATCTATGTCTATACCTATAACACCACCTATGCCTATAGCGTAGTCTTATAATATATTATTATGGTATTTGAAAATACTAAAAATACTTAGCAATTAAACCTGCTGTGTCTACGTTTCTATTTCCCAAAATATTAAAGTATATCTGAACCCTTCTCATAATAAGCGTCTTCCTAACCTAGACTTCAATCTTGTGCTCAATTGGTTATTTCTTGTGAAAAAACGAACGAGGTAAAATAACAGAAACCTACCAAATACTGAAACCGGCGGCTTGTTTTTAATCGTCGATGTACACATCGTTCGGACAAACATTCGCAGCATTTTCAAATGGTTTATTTTAGTCTTATTTCAATAAATATTTTATAAAATTATTATTTTACTAAAGTGACAGAAATACAAATAGAAATCAAAGAAACTGCCAGAACGACAGGACAGAAATCATAAACAATTTATTTAAAACACGCATTCAAAGAAGTACGAAATACAAATTCTATAATATTTGAACATTCAAGTCAGTACATCGTATTGGAAAGCTTGGTCTGTTTCCAACAAAGCTCTGATGTAGATGACTAGGGAACCGAGAGCCATCGCCGATGTCAGAGAGTTGCAGGCCCCACCTTCTGAAGAAGCTGCTTTCTTCACTCTGTATTCTTCCTAAGATGAAAATTATGACAAAATAAGTATAGGGATTTGATTGTTCGATTCTCTGAAGAAGAAAATTACAAATAAAAATTAATTCTATTGAACTTAAATCTATCAGCTTTAGAGTCCGTTTTGAAATATGAACTAATTGTCACTTCACATTTCACATTTATAAAAGCATTTATAAAAGTGGTGAATCAGGCCCTTGATAGTTTGCTTCTACTAAACAAGGACGCAAAAGATCTCCTGTTTAGTATTACAATTCATAGAAGAGTGTTTGTTACATTCTTAACATAAATGTACTTCATAAATTACATTTCTATAATTGCAATACACCATTTATGATAGACATTCAATCAGATTAGATATTAAAACTCATTGGAAACATGAAGCAATAAGTCCTAACTTAGATAAATAGTTTTTTGCATTACCTAGTTCTGTCTGAGACTTGTGTAATAATAAGATGACTTATAATTATTATTATAAGTTAATTATTATCGGTAAACTATAATGAAATTGTCCAATTAGTATGTCATTAATATTGGACAAGGTTCTGTCAGAATAATATAACTAGAAAATACAACAGCAATTGTAGGCACGTCAAGGAACCACAAGAATTATAATTTGACTTCAGACACCTACAAAAACACGCTGATGACTATATTGGTGTTAAAAACGGAGTAAATAATGATTATTTAGCTGAAATAATGTCTCATTTTGCAGTTTTTGTTATTGTCTTTTCTACAAAATGTCTACATAATGACTGAATTGTCTAGGCGTGATCATTTGTTTCGTTTTAATGGGACACAACTGATTTATTATGTGCGCGTTAAAATAATAGTGAAACGAGGGCGACGACCCGTACTATTTGATCAAATGTTTCATAAGGTGAATATGATTTTATATATTTTTAACACGCATATAATTCAGTTTCACTAGGAACCGGGTGTTTTCAAAATATACAATAGGCCGTAGAAGGACGTGCACAAGGATTTAAATTTTATCATGTTCTGCACAATATCCGTCTTAAGAGTCTTTTATTTATTTATTTAGTATTGGATGTATTGCAGAAGAACTTACTTCTCTTTCTTTCTGTGATGGTACCGACGTAAGTCCCACAAATCCAGTGAGCTTCATGAACGGTTGGCGATCATCTGAGTAGCAACCTTTCGGTTCCTGCCAGGCTAAGATCCGGTTCATCCAGCGAGGTTTTATAAATTCTCCGTACCCTTGTGTAGAGCAATAGAGCACTGAAATACAAAATTAATCGCTATATCATACTAAACAAGAAAAGATTTTTTTATTGACATTGAGTACGAGTAGGTATGCAAGGGAAGGGTAAGATTGTGGTGAGTATTCGATGTGAGTTCGAAATGTTAGATTAAATATTTTCCCTCAACCTGTATTCGGGGAATTTCTTATTTTGCTGTATTTATTTTTTAAGTATTTGAAATTAATAACCACTCACTTTGTTGCATAAACAACGTCCTTGTTCCAGGTGGAAGATCCCAGGCTTCTAAAGACTTGGTTTCTTTGTAGACTTGAATGCAAAGTTTATAGATATGAGCTGCAATGTCGACGCCCTCCAAGCAATCGAAGAGATACGCTAAAGCTGCAGCTCTAATACGACTGGTCTGCTGGAAAGCTAGTCCAGAACCCTTGAGTATTTGGGCAGAGCATTCTGGAGTTAGCTCGCATGTCCCATCAGTCTGGGTTGTCTGCGATTCCATAGCTGATATCAATAGCTGCATTGTACATGCATCTAGAATTAAACACTTGAAATTAAATCTTATCGATTACCTCGTTACGTTTGTCAAGTAATCGTTAAGTTCGTTTATCAAGATACACGGGTAGACCAAAGTAAGTACTATTAGGTTTTGTTCTGTGTGATAATGATTGTCTTGAATCAAAAAGTACTAGTTACTTATAGAATATGCTACATTTAATATGCCCACCTCTACCTGCGTCACCTCTGCGTTTACCCTATTTGGGGAAATAAAACTAAAAATGGTAAATTAAAACTAGGCTGACTAGCTTTCACCTCATTTCTGTCAACAATGTTGATTGATATCGAATGGCGACGCTATGTGATTATTAGTGGAACTGTTATAAAAAAGTTGGCCTTCGAAGAAGCCGACCGTGTCAGGGTCTGCATTGAAAACTAGCTTTACATTGAATACTAAAGTATGTTACGCAGCAACGCAGATAGAATAATGATCCTATTTCGGTAAATTTCACTATTAGGTAAGCTCTTAAAAAATTCGGCTGCATTTATGAATGTTGGACAGTGACTTTGTTAATCGTAATAGGTAGTGATGAACTAAATTATCTGCAGTTAGTGAAGTGCCTACTTTTTAACTAACAAATAGTTACATAGCATTATTGTTTTCTATATAATTGTACCTGCCCTAAAACATCCACTATTTTTATCTGCATTACTTAATAATTATCATTATATTGTAGCAGCAGTGGACATTTATAGGCTGTTGATGACGATATTGTAACTTTGATCTTGATATTGAAACTTTGACATAACTAAAATAAGAGATCGCTTACGTTAAGTACTTTGTCCCACACATGGTCTATTACGTAATATTTACCTAGATATAGGTACTTATTACGCAAAATCTTGCATTTCTAAACCAAACAATTGCCAAAGTTAAATCAAACAATTGCCAAATTGCAACCAATTGCACTCAAAACGTACCTGCTGAAAATAATGTTGTTTAAATAACTAAATGCACTAATATTTTAAATTGCCCAATAACTAACCTGCTGCCTTCCTGGTCGGCATTTTCGTCTTAGCTTCTTGCACATATTGTTCGAACGAGAACCGATAAGGCTTCTGTGTGCCCATAGTACCGATCGAAATTGGCTCCATTAAACTCGATAACACATCCATATTCTCGAATATTGCTTTTGCCACTGTAAAAATGATAAAACTCCTCATATTGATTCAATACATACTATTTTCTAGTTATTATTAGAATCTACTAATAGGACTACTGAGTCCCCACTCAGTTAATCCTTGATTTGGTTATCAAAATCAAATAACTTCGTTTACAGATTTTTACGAAAAATAATAGAGAACTATGGATCACTCTTCTGTATAATCTATTAGATAAATCTCGAAAAATATCTTGATTTGATATAATACACATCCAGGAAATTTCTTATTGCTTTTCTAAACAAACAGTTAAGAGTCTAACTTTAAAAGTGTGTCTTTATTTACAGTTAAAGTTCTTAATAGGTTTTATCATATTGCCACGAAGTTTTAGTTCAGAAATGTTTACAAATGCTGTTAATACATATAATAAGCACTCAAACATAATCTTGTAACGTACAATAAATCCAGCGAAAGTGCGCATTCAATGATATAACTCCAATAAAATCCATTTAAGGTGGATGGATGATGATCTCAAATGCCATTTTGTCGCTAGATGGCGTAACTTCCACAATTTGGAACATTTTCACGTTTTACGCCTAACTTCGAAATCTTTAATAGATAACTTTATTGTTCGCGAAACCTAGGGCATTAACTTGATTTTTTAGATAGTCGTTGTGCTTGTTATCTGGTCTCATACAAAGATTACTACAAAATAAAGATTTAGCCGCTTCACTTTACTGTTTACACACACATGCAAAGTAAATAGTAGTAACTTTCGACACCACCAGATGTCGTTATACTATAAAAATATTAATTTACATACTTGAAATTATGTTCCCATCTATTTCTTATTAGTATAATAATTGGTCTAAGTATACTTTTGTTTCTAGACTCGATATCTAGCAAATTATTCATAAAATTTATTTTAGGTAAAATAGGTACACTGTACACTATATACTATACCCCTAGACCCTACACCTGTCGCGGAGAACCTAACGGGTAACCGGGGCTCCGGCTCGACGTGCAGGAGAAGGAACGGGGTGGTTTTTAGTCAGTAAGAGTCTGACACTCCCTTCCGCCTCACCCAGGCGGGAGCAGTCATTCGATGATTTTCCCCCTTTAAAAAAAAAAAAAGACCCTACACCTAAAAAATTGTTGTAATGTGACTGAACCTAAATTATTATTGTAATGTGTAAATAGTGACTTTACTAAATAAATAAATGAAAGACTATTTATTCCATTGTAAAGCTTTTTATTGTACCTTACTATAAAATTAAAATATTTTATTTAGTAAAACTAAGTTAACATTTTCATAAAATAATCGTTTTATTTACTCTCACTACATTTACTTAGATAGTTTCCATCTGGATTCAAACCATGGAGTCATACCACCATACAAAGATAACATAATTTTTTAATTGTTTTGATATTTACTTAGTTTTATAATTTTAAATTTAGTATTAGAAAGAATTATTATGTATGTAGATCACAATATAAATAACATCATAAGTATATATAACGGCACATGAAAGTTTGCAAGTATCTTACATTTATTTATTTCAATTAACTCGTCGAGTACCGGTTTTATAGACACAATTAAAGAACAATAGGTCGCGGTCACCGGTGACCGCTTGGTGTTTGACAGTTTAATTAGTATAACATTACAGTCATAAAACCAACAACAAGTGGTTGCTAGCTAACCATAACATTTATTTATGTTTCAAGAATACCTATTTATTTTACAATTTTGAACTTCAATAAATATTGTTTTACAATTGAATTGTTAGGCTGGTACCTAAATGCATGAGGCAAACTTATATACACAGAAAAATCTTATGGACTAACAAAATAACACAAACTATACATAGCTATGTGCAAAAATAGCTTATTAATTATTCTATAATGTTCACACTGCTGAGAATCAGGCTACACAAAGCAAAGTGCCGGCTTGGATTCGAACAATCAACTCGTACCACCATACAAAGATTCTTATATATATTATAATAAAATGTCTTCTTTTTGCAGTCACCGCCGCCGCCGCCGCGCCATATCAGTCTTCTGTTTATCGCTTTTTACTTCCATTTATAATTTCCGTGCAATCTGAATCAAATGCTGGAAGACGCAGTTTTCGCTGCAACAAATGAATTTACACAGTTTTGTTAGACTATTCTTACTGAACCCACACCTCAGAGCCCTGAGAAATAAGTTAGGAAATGAATAAGACTTATATTTTTATACCTTTTAATTCCTTGATGTCCAGAAATTTAGCATTTTTCTCAACTCTTCTCAAAATAATTTCCGGCAGTACACATCTTTTAAAAACTGTCACCAACTTCGGCATCATAGTACTGATAAATTACTCATTCTGGTTAACGTCTATGACAGTCAATGGTTGGGTGACTGATATATAGCAAATGAAGTAACATTTATTCATTTTGGTAATTCGCAATTGACCCTGGACCTAGAATCAAAATAATAATAGCTGTTAAAAAGAAACAATCCAAGAAATACATTATTTTTATACATACATACCAAGAAGTAATGATATTTGATAATAATGAAATAATAATAATGATATTTGATAATAATGATATACTTACTTGATAATAGTAATTATGCTTTTTGTTCATAACTAAAACATCATTTTCCAAATGAATAGGAAAATTTCTATTTTCTGATGCTTATCGAATATTTTGAATATCTGTAAAAAAGAAAAGTTTTTAGGCTTACGCGACAAAAACTAGTTATTTGTATATTTTTATTATCGAATAATTTTACCATCAGGGCTAGCTACTAAGAATCCAAATTCTTCATTAATGAAAAGTCCTGATGGCCTGACTATTTGCCATATTATTGCATAAACATGCTCTATGCAACATGTTCATTTTGTTTTCCATACATCATATCTTTAGTACAAATATTATTTTTATAGAGAATGCATTTCACATGATTGTGACATGGTGTGGCATTGGTTGGAGTGTAGCAAAGGGTGTGCAAGGAGTTTAGGACTTTTAATTATTTTTTCATCAAAAATGATAATTCTTATAAGTGGCTCGGTTTTTCATTTCTATCGTTTAGTATACCTAAAAATAAGATGACTATTATCTGGGCACTTTTTATCTAGATAAAAGGCTTCAGGTTCGCCTGAAATTGAGCCCTAAAGGTCAGTTGGGGGAGTATGTAAAACACTTTTTGGGCACCCCAACACATTTGGTTAGGTTAGGTTAGAACTGTGACCCTCATAAGGCCTAGATAAAAGGTGTCCAAATGATTTTCGCTTTATTATTAGGTATACTAATCAGTGAAAATGAAAAACTAGCCATTTATAAGAATTTTCATTCTTGATGAAAATGAAAAATAAAGTCCTAAACTCCTTGCACACCCTTTGCTACGCTCTGACCGTGGCATTACGACGTTTGCATACCTAAAATGAACAAAGTGACAATCATTATTCTGCAATTTGTTAAAACTTTCTCAATACATAATAGGTACTAACCTTATCGAGCATAACGACCTTTTCTAGAACATAAACCAATGAGTATCAAATAAACTTCACTCACGTAAATCTGATTTGAAATCCTATAGTAATCTGATTTCTTCACTATAGATCACTAAAAGAACTTTCATGATGTCTTATGAATGCGGCTTGCACCTTTTTCCTTGAATTTTGCGGCCCTGAATACATAGTATGTCGTATACACGCAAGTTTATTAGTCGGGTTCATTTTAGGCAGTTCAGTTGCAATTCAATCTCAACATCAAATGTATCTTATTTATGAAATGTTTCAAGAAATTTGTAATAGCAGATCTAATCTAACACCACCATCAAGTTGTCAAGTGCAGTCAAGTTCTATTAAGCAGTGTTGCCAATTGCCAACACGACTAATACAAAATCTGGGAGACTGCTACTGAATTAAAATGTCAAAATTATTCTAAATACTATAAAACTATGCTAAAATACTGTGCTAACATTCTTCAGTGTGAAATAAAACATCTTTTAATTTGAATCTTTAATAATCAAGAAAATTCGAGTAAGAAGCATTAAGAAACATTATAATACAAGTATCCGTACTTGTTGTTATATGTACTAGTGTTTATTAATATATTTTTTTTAAGTAATAATAAACATGGTAAATATCCCGTTTAAGTTGTAATGATACTGGTGTTTATTGTTTCGTGTGGATTTCATGACAAAGTCTCTTCCGAGCCCCTTTTCTTTAGTAAATAAAGCTCGTAGTAAAGTTTCGTTGCTAAATTGGTGTACGGATTCTTAAATATTATACCAAAAGGTTAAATTTTGCGTTGAAGTTATAGTAATACCACATTCTATTGCCATTTATTTTTTAATTCAAAGTACGATCTTTTAAAATGTATGGTACAATCTTCCAAAAAAATAAAGTTGGCAACCCTGCTTGACGCACTTTGTGTATGTGTATACATGCTAATAATACTAGTAAAATAAGCAATTAAGAAAAATTTAAATGGTTTGTCTGTATATTCACTAATGTTGCTGGTTTCACATGATTTAAATATGATTTAATCAATAGATGTACGTAGTACCTACGTTTCATTATTGTGTAGGTAGCTTCGCTAATCACCTGATTTATAACTTACTTATACATCAAATTCTATTCTCTGATTTTATTCAACCCAAACCAATGGATTAGTACCTAAGAGTATCAGAAAATGTGTTATCAGTATCTACTTACATACATTACAAAGATTTTTGAATCTGCAGTCAAGGAATGTTAGTGTGTACTAGTACAGGCAGGCTGCAATCACGGCGTCCTGACCTATCGGTTGACGCAGGTCCTCACCAGACCAAGGACACATCGCAGAGATATTTTTTTCACTTTATGTAAAGCATTAATTCTCATCCCATTATAAAAAACATTTTATCAATCGTTAATGTTAACTCCGTGGGTAAACCCGCGCGCCCGGTGCTAACTTGCTAGAAACACAATATTCTGGAAATGATTCGCAAGTTGTCAAGATTCAAGACATCACGCATGGACGGAATGGCAACAGCGCACGCGCTGCTTCTTGAACGGCAACGTCGCATTCCCGCACGCGTCACGTCACATTGATGCTTGTTCGAATTATCGGACAGCGCCATCTATTATGAATGTTTACCAATTGTAAACTCGGAACACAACAGCAACCAAATTTCTCGGTGGTTCTATAAATTTCTATCAGATGGCGCGATTCAGGTCACTCACACATGCAAAGACTTATCGTTTTTTATTCGGTCTAATTCTCCTAGAAATACAATTTTTTAATAAAATTTGGGCTATACACAAACATAATACATTATAAAGTCTCATTATAGTTCCTTTTCTTCTGCAGAAACTGTTTATTTACGAAGATTTCCGCACCTGAAAAATGTATGGCGAGGTCTAACTAGGCATCCACCTTAAGAGAGAAACTATCCACCTTACTGTCGTAAACCAATAGAACCTACATTTATTTATAACTATTTGAGATAATGTTTTATTCCGTGATCTAAGGCTACGTTTTCACTGTTTTTCTTAACAAAGCCTTTTTCTTAATACTTCCTTTAAACATTTATGCATTTTTCAGATTATATCTAAAATAAATTATAACGTAATGATTATTTCTTCTTATTTATGTTACTTTCTTTCTTATTTATGTTGTGGTTTTTTACATTTATACAAATAAAAGTTTTTGTGATTCAAGAAGTCAATTTGTTACGTATTAATTACCACAAGCGACTTAATATAATATAAATGTAATAAAGTCATGTGTATGTAAGTGAAATAAGAATGTAAGCACCTAATATATTTATTTTTTAATTTTTTTAATTTTTTTTTTTTAAAAAAACGTTGCCCCACACTAGGATTTTCTCCTGTGCCGTGGGTGGGTTTACAAACATACAATTTCTCATACACAATGACACCCAGACCCGAAACAACAATTTGTGGATCACACAAAGTGTTGTCCCGTGCGGGAATCGAACCCGCGACACGTTGCACGGCAGCCGGTTGCCCAGCCACCGCACCAACCGTGCAGTCTATTTATACCTAGTGGTTTTTCAATAATAATTATTTTTTATTTAAACAATTAAACTTCGAGGTACATAATTCGACTTAAAGCTTGATTGACACTTTGATAAAGCCATTGGGTACGCACCTCTACGTGAAAGTTATTACCGAGACTGACTCATAGAAAAAATCTGAGCGTGCAAATCATTGCTACATATATCATTACGCATAATACGCAATTTAAAATAAATTTAAATGAAATACCGTCTAGTAATTAGGCCAAGATCTAATAATGAACACATTTTTTAAATACCGAATTAAATAAGTATACAGTATGTCAGGTAGGTACCTATATAGTAATTCAGGTAGGTATATAGTAATTCAGGTAAAACATCCAAACATAGAAGGAATTTATAAAACTATAATTTATTTTTGATATTATTCAACTCTTATATTTAAATAATTCAAACATTTGTTTTACTAATTTACATTTTACATTTTCACAAATACGAGATCACTATGCGCTCTTGTTGGGTTAGGTCATGAGTCGTTAATGTCGTCTGGTGGCTATAAAGCTGTGATACGAATACATAAAAAAAACGTTTATTAGCGCTTCATAGAATTAACACAGTGAAGCCCTGGCTCTTGTACTAGGTATCCCTGTATCACAAGAGCCAAGTCTCTCAATAATCATGGAAACATAGCACCACGTGAGACTTGACAATTAATAATGACTTACAAAGACGTTATATAATTTACATATACTTCCATTTGTATACATTTAGTAAGAAGTTGTTACATGTAGACGATAATAATAATCAACTAACATTAGTTATGCTAAAATTCCACGGTAATTGAAATTAGTTAGACTACATACAACTTGATGTAGATGTGCAATTTCATTTTACATTTTAAACCACCTATGTTACTCAATTCGTAAATAAGAGAGAATGTCTAGTTGGCGTCCCTGCAGGTGTTCTGCCTGCACACCGTTGGGTAACTAAGCGTGAACAGATGCCTAAATGATTTATTGTTGGTTTAAATGTAGACTGCTTTGTTAGTCGAGAGGTAGTAAGTGTGGCTATCGAGCAAAAAGAGATCGAAGATCAGAGGGCCTAGTATGTTTTTCGTGTTTTTATGAGATAAATCGGTAAACTAGCAGACTGATTACCTAATATGGTATGGTATGCAATTGGCGCCGCCCATAAACACGTAAAATACCAGATGTGATGTGTGTACACTTGTAAAAGGCCGGTACCGCACTTGCGTTCTCAGCTTTTTGGGGATTAGGAATTTAAGGATTGTTGGGGATTCGAAAGATTGGAGAGATTGGGGAAAGGGGAATTGGGCTTTCGGTACGTTTAACGTTAACGATCGAAACATTTAGCGCCATTGGTTGGTTTATTGGAGTAGGCCAATCAGAATGCCGAACGTTTTGATCTCGTTAAACGTAAGGCATACTCATACTAAGACGGACAAAGTATTATCAAGTTTCTTCCTGATTTTCGAAAATTCTGCACAGAGCCTGGAATTGTGCCTTGCGTAAGCTCACCTCCTAATACAGGGGATTCTGATTAACTTTGACATACTTAGGCCTATGTGGAAAAGGAATCTGATACCCATTACCTGAAAGTCGAATTGCAACCATTCAAGCAAGACAGTCTTTCTTTTACAGTACAAAATACAATAATCATTATGTAGAACTCTTACTAACACCTAAGGTACCCTACAACTTCCAAAATGTTTGCGCAACTTTTTTTATAATGTGTAACAACTAGATGGATTTTTTTTTTTTTTTTTTTTTAAGGGGGGAAAATCATCGAATGACTGCTCCCGCCTGGGTGAGGCGGAAGGGAGTGTCAGACTCTTACTGACTAAAAACCACCCCGTTCCTTCTCCTGCACGTCGAGCCGGAGCCCCGGTTACCCGTTAGGTTCTCCGCGACTTCGAATCGGCATCGGCCCTATTGGGCCCCATCTGTGGTGGTCTGATGGCTCTTTGAGGCGCGCGCGGAACGCGACGCGCCGTACGCTCGGGTCTGTTTCTGGTCGGACGGGGAGCCACCCATGCTCGCCGTCCGCAGGCCCGCGCTTACGGTGGCCGGAGATCGTCCCGCGATCCCCGACGCCCGGTGTGTCCTTCGCGATGGCTGGGTTGCGAGGAGGCAGCGCTTCGCTGCCTCACGCGTCCCGCCTCCTCCTTAGCTAGCATGACTGCTTCGCAAAAGGAGGAGACGGCATCCCAGTCCCCCTCGCTCCGCATCATGGCCTGCACTAGGCCCGGACGCGAGAGGTCGCCATCGCCGATCACTTCCCTGAGGGCACGGCGGTGCTCAGCCCACGCAGGGCATTCCGCTACGGTGTGTTCCACCGTGTCCTCAAGGCGGTCCTCGCAGTGATGACACCCGGGCGTTTCCTCCCGCCCCATCAGACACAGGTACCTCCCGAAACTTCCATGTCCGGTGAGGACCTGCGTCAGGCGGTAGGTGAGGACGCCGTAGCGTCTCTCAAGCCACTCCTCAAAGAGGGGACTTACCGCTGCAATGGCAGCGAGCCCAAACAACTAGATGGATATCTGTTCGTCTATTGAGGCGCAGACCTAGCTTCAACTATTGTGCACTTAAAACCAATTAGGTAATGGTGTTAAGTAACCTTTGGCTTCAAGAATAGCCTTAACTGATGGACGCAGCCACTTAAACGATACAGAAAAAAAAACAAAAATAGATTCAATATTTAAGCTGTGACGAGAGGCCCATAGACCATCACGGGCTTGACAATGATGATACACCAATAAATAAACTATTTTCTTTTTTTTATGAAACCTATAAATTTTTGTTTTCGGTAATGTTAATTTAATTTACTTTTGAATTTAATTTTATAAGCTTACGAATTTTTTTTATTTAAGCACTTTTGCTGATTGGCGGTTCTGTCGCGTATCACTTTGAATTATGCAACATAAATAAAAAAGAAACGTTTATTTAGGAAAAAAAACATATTGAAACGTAATCATCGATTTATCATTATGAAGAATAAAAAATAACTAAATCGTTTTAAGTATTATTACGATCGAGTTAGATTTAATTCGTAATAATCGTGACTACCAACTAATGATTAGTGCTGTTGAATGGCGTGGAGCCTCAATTCTTTAATATGGCCTTCATTAGCATCATACGTATTATATTGTTTAACATTAATACACCTTAATGCATGGTACAATCCACACTAATAATATAAAGAGTAAAGACTTGATTGTTTGTTTGTTGGTATTGAATAAGACATCAAAATATATAATATACTGAATTCAAAAAATCATTTGCAAGGTGTATTTCTGGGATTAACTAGTTCGCATTATTTTTGTGTGCATTAAAAAGTTAATAAAATAATAATAAAAACATACTTTCTCGCCATATTTCTACAAAATCGGTACATACATACTTATAGAAATCTAAATTCCATGCAATATGAGACAGATTTAAATTCCATGCAAGTGAAGTCGCAGACAGAAAGCTACTAGTAAATGAAGCTTAAAAATACTAATATGATTCCGACTAACTGACTGTCAATCACGTTGAACTATCTCAAGGATACTAAATAGCCTATTCTCCTAGTCGTTGCATACTTCGTGACTGTATCGTTAGTCCAATACCGCTGCGGGGTAAACCATTATTGGGTTTGCTTACGAAACTACTACCAACAGTATGGATCCCCATTAACATTACAAATGTAAAAATGTATGATGTTGAATGGAGTAACATGTAATGGTTATTTTTACTTGATGACATTACGCTATCGATGGATAATTTTGATGTGCATGCAGATGAAACCATAAACAAACATGAACTGTGAGATCATTGTGTTCATTTTATTTAATAGCAAAGTTTTGTCCCCTTGTTAGCGAATAAACTACTGCAGCTATTGCAAGCAGGCGTCACCTTTGCGTACATTTTGAAAAATATTAAACATGATATAACAACAAACCGTATTCATAATCTTTGCTCCGATATACAAAGCTGGAGAAATCAGTATTATTTTTGATGCGGTCCATTCGCCGGGTGAGGTTCTGCAAGTTCTCTTTAAGCTTGCCTGGCACTGACTTATCTAGCTCATTTATCGTGTACTCCAGTTGACCTGAAATTATTTGCAACACTTGGTAAGGTCAAACTTCTTTGGTGTGTACCTACCTTTCATTCTCATGAACTGATTTACATAGATACATCTTTATACTTTTGCAACTGTGCGTGAGACTGCATAAGTATAATTCATGATGTAAACTTGGCGGTGTTCTTAAAAGATGTTTTAAAATGCAATAAATTTACCTCTAGCCATTCCCAGAGCGATGTACCATTCAGGATCTTTCGAAGGCTTCTTTTCATAGTACTCTAACAATTTGTCCAGCGTGATAGATATTCTGTATACTTTAGGAACATTGTATATGAAGTCTTGAGTATCAAAGTACGGATATATACCGTAAGAAACTTTCGCAGTTAAAATAGTTAACAAGACGATATACTTTATACACATTTTGTAGAAAACTAACCGGTCTAAAAGAAAAACTAATAGTGTTGTAAAAACTATAAAAATGGCCACCCGGCAACCACTGATTGGGCCATTTGTACGTATTTTATTGAAGTTTATCGTAAGTTTGTGGTTCCAATTCAGATCGAAGTCAATTGAGGCTGTGATGATATTTACCTACGTGTTTTTGATACAAAATAGTGAACTAAAATCACTAAAATATTGAAAGTACTCGGCGTGGACCTTATTAGCCCTGTACATGCACGTGTTAATTTACGAAATAACTACATATTTACATGTATGTATAATAGGTTTACCTATATTGTAAAACAAATTAAACCTATTTTACATCATTGTAATATTATACATTTATATAAATAGTTACTACATCACCGTTTTTAACATGATTACATTTTAGTCTAATACCATTTCTAATTAAAGTGATCAATTTGGAGATGGTATTAAAGGCACACGTGAATTCATTTCAATCACACACTACGTAAATCAATCATTTATCTCTCGTAGGTAGTTACCTATCAATCTAGATTTATCTACGTTATTTATAGCTTTAGTTTGCAATCATATTAACCCATTTGTGAAATACGTATAAAACGGTAACATGTCACGAAGAAGACAAAATATCGTCAATATAGATTCGCAAATTACTCTGCAATTATTGTAGAGAAATGTTAGCGTGAGTCTGCATTGTAAGGCTCGTTAATCTTAGATGTTTCGTAATAAAACGTGATTTATCGACGATCCCTCCAATTAAATGCAGAAGCTGCTAGTATGTGTGTCAAAATCGCGAAAGCTAACCTAAGAGGGGCTGAACGTAGTAGTATGGAAAGGGCGCAAGTACGCACCGCCAGACAAATTCAAGTGGCGAACTCGTGCTCACGTATTTTTTGCGATGCAGACAATTGTATCGTATCCGTTCTGCCATCTCCGTGATAAGCTTAGAAGTGACAAGTTTCAGTTATAGTGTTTAAATAGATATTTGCATGTTACGCAAAGCATGGCGGTGTCGCATCAGTGGTTCGTGCAGTGGTCCGCCCCGCCGATGCTCTTCGCGGATATTACTAGTCAATACAATGACGTCAATGACCGATGGAAAAGTGATGAACCAACATGGAGTGACCCTGCAGTGGTTCCTGAACTTAGTGACGATAGTTATAAAGACCCGGACAGCTTGATAGAAACTAATCATAAGTATAAGTCAGATAGATCTAAAAATAAAGGTAAGTTTTATGATTACTTGTATAATGATGTGTTATGTTCTCTTTCCTTATTATGTTAGATAAGTAATATAATTATGTCTATATCAATATTGTAATGTAAAGCTAGATAAAGCGTAGGAAGCTATTATCATATTATTACGTGTTTTATTATTATGTGAAGAAAACTTATTAATTCATCGATGTTGAAAAAGTTTAACGTTATATTTGTTGATCGAGATGTGGTACAAAAACATTAAATGTCATAAAAAAAACTAATTATAGTTTAGCATCAAAGCACCTAGTAATCAAAACTGCACGAAGAAAATTGCTTACAATTAATCCATCATTTAGCTACCTAATATTAGATCAGTAATCGCTATAAACATTGAAATCGTGTTCACTGATCGTCAAAATTGCAAGGAGCACGCCAGTACCCATAGGCCACTCTGCCAATCAAGTGGAAATATGCAATTATTTAACTGCTCAACACAACTATCCGATTATGCACTAATTACAGGCTATTTAACAGGTAACGTTTGCCATAACATGAATATATTGTGAACCAAATCATCTATGATACTTAGTTTCCCTCTTTGCAGGAAATTGAACATTTTACATAAAGAGTGTTTGAACTGTTGAGCTCGTGATTATTTATGATTGGTGTTGATTATGTTACTAGTGAGCTAATCATGTACTGTTAATCCTTATTTAGTTTGATGTTGAGCACTTATAAATTGTTTTTTTTACGCATGTGAGTTATTAACAAGACGTAACTTGGTCAGAGCAGACGGAAAAAACAAACCAACTAAATGTAGAATCTCATGGTAGAATTTAGTAATAGAGGCGAGTTCATTGCCACATTTATTACATTGCATCATTAATTACATTGCACATTGGCATTAAGTGCCGTAGTGAGCACCTCTGCCTACCCTTCGGGGATAAAATACGTCATATTATGTTATGTGTGTGTTCATTGTCACACAACGGGCACAACTGGAAGCTCTATAGTTATTAAGATAATTACTAAATACTCGTAACAGTCGTAAATTCAGATCAAAAACAGTAGGTGTCAGCATAAACTTGAAATTTCCTGTTCATAAAAAAAACTGGAGAAAGAAACTTACTTGTAAAATGTATTAAATTGTATGTCAGTCATGGCCAACTGTCTCACAGTCTACTCACAATTCATTCGATTATATTATAGACGTGCAATTATGAAGTTTAATGAAAATTAATATATCTTAATAGTCATTAATAAAATATTCATATTACGCCTAATATAGATATTCCACACTTAACATACATTAGATAACTTTCCTCGTATATTACCTAACATACACTATAGGTAGGTACTATAATAGTAAATAAACTATTATGTAAACTGCAACCGACGAGCACGCCTGAAGAGATTGATGAATGTCGATGAGGAGAAAGAGGTATATTAAAAACAAAGCACTTCCTCGTACTTTTCTTAAAATAAAGTTACCATTTTCCGGCTTTGTAATAGATGTGTCTTTCCAGAAATAATTTGTTTTAACTTTAAAAAATTGTCCAATTACAGTACACCAGTAAAGTCACCTAAGTATAAACTATTAGATCGCTTCTGTCAGGTACATCAAATGTGCGACGAGTCCATGACATAGACGGACGCTTGTCGATGTCATTACCTGCTGCGAGTTACGTTGTAAGTCAAGGACGATAAAGGAATGACATGTAATGTGTAATCTGCAGCTGTAACCAAATTCCATTTAGCGCTTGTCTACTTTTATAGTAGAAAACTAAATTATATGGAATTGACGTAAATTTTGACACTTGTCAGTGTCATCCCCATACATTTAGTTTTCTACTCTCTCTGTAGACAAGCGCTAATGTGTTTGGCTAAAGGCACAGATATTATGATTGACAACTTTAATTAGTTACGACCTCTAACTTCAACATAAATTGTGTAGAAAAAGGAATAACGAAATTGACAAAATTGAACAACAAAACAATCGCACCCAACAGCATCAACCGAGTCGATCTTACAAAATTATAAAATGTTAAAAAATTAAAAACGGCTGCATGTGTACAGTTAATAGTAATATGTAACCTACACACCGTTTTCTTGAGCAATATCGAGCATTCGAAGTAGTGAAAGTGAAGTCGATTACACTTATCGGTCACAAAGCCATAGCGGGCTGAATATGCCTCTAATTGTAGTGTACCGCACGCAAATTTTTAACTACAGACTCTAAACGTATTTAACTGATTCTATCTAGTTTTTACGAGTAAATTATGTTTTATAACTAGAGTTAATGTTCAGTGGTTAGTGTTCCAAAGACAATGGATGTAAAAATTTAGTACGAAGTGTTGCTTTTTAATTGCGATTAATCTCGATGATCTTAGAAATACTTATGTGATGCTGCCTCTATAGTAGTTAATCTGAATTGTAAGCACCGCACCGCATCTAATTTCAAATTAAGTTTATGTAATACTGGCTTCTGCCAGCGGCTTCGTCCACGTTGTGGCCTTTCCAAATTTTATCTCGATCCCTTCAGCCCTTTTGACGTGAAGGAGTAAGAAACAAACATACAAACTTTTACATTTATAATATTAGTAGGTTGGTTCACCTAATAAAACACAAAAGCGTTATGATCTTCTTAACTACAATTATACAGGATTGTCCTAGTGCAGGCATCTAACTATGTGAGATCAATTGTACGTAACTAAGATATATTTTTGTTTTTTGCATTTTTGTTATTATGAATAAAATTTTAAAATAAAAATTCATAATAACATTTTTTTTTAATTTCTTGATCGAGCCTACATCAAAATATCAAGTAAAGTCCGTTACATCATTCTATATACATTCTCTAGATATATGTTTGCTTTAACATTACAATTTTATTTATTAAATACTAAATTGACTCTCTTAAATATATTCAGGATACAGGAAAATTGAACCTGTTAAATATTTCTCAAGTTGCTAATAAATCCTTATCGGTTTAAAGTTACGAAAGTAACTCTATCTGTCTGACACATTTCCATATTTAATCCAAAGAACTAGGAGGAAACTTTGTAAGGAAATAGTTTAAAAAACTAAGCAAAGAATAAGTTTTTATTCCAGAAATTCACCTCTTACAGGAGACTGACATATGTATTCCAAATTAACTAATTTTACTGTGGTTTTTGCACCAAAACCAACATTGTAATTAAGCATACGTTTATCGAACGTCTACGCTCGATAAACACTAGTGTGAAGGCGCTCTAAAGCTTAAACATTGTACAGTATTCTCGCTCTATTGGTTAGTTCAGTAAAATTATCGAGCATCATTATGTTCATTATCTACATAACGTAAAGCTATGCTAGCTACAATGTATTGTTAATTTGTATTCATCTACTTATATGTCGTAGTCAAATCGTAGATTTGCGCGTTTATAAATAGTAAATTTTGTATAATAGAAATATAATAACTAAGTGTGGGAGAGCTATGCTTCGGCAGGAATGGGCCGGCTTGACCGGAGTAATACCACTAGCTCACAGAAAACCGATGTGAAACAACGCTTGCATTGTGTTTTGTCGTGTGAGTTAGGTTACCGGTACCGGAAAGTCCCAATTACCCCCACCATTTTCTCAATCTCCCCGATCCCTTAATCCCCCAATCTAACCAATCCCTGAAGTTCCAACCATCCTCAAATTCCTTATCCCCAAAAGGCTGGTAACGCACATATAACACCTCTGGTGTTCCGGGTGTTCATGGGCGACGCCGATTGCTTACCATCAGATGCTCAGTCTGCTCGTTTACCGGCTAATCCCAAAAGAATGAATTATAATAGATTTCAGAGAAAGAAAGGCGTAAAGATCCAATTTCTCAAAATGTCACCTGTAAAGATTTATTTAGCCTTTATATATCAGCAGACGCATTCTGGTTCACAATGATCATGAAGGACTAAAACATCAAGTTACTGTTAATGTTCAAGGTGTTTCCTTAAATATGAAATTACTATTAGGTACATATTTATTGCCGTGGCATAGAATTGGATCTATAATTGTGTAAGTATCACATTTCAGGTGCTAATGTTACAAGTGACATGACATGTTACGATTGAAAATGTATACTTACGGCTTGTTACCTAACTTATAACAATGATATTTTATCGCATAATGTATTACATTACTTATAACCTTCTTTTTGTTCTAATTTTACACAATATTGTAAAAGGCTTCCGTTGAAATATAATATCTTAGTCCCATTTCCCAAGCAAATATTATTATACTAAAGTATTAAGAGATAAATTCTTCAAGGTGATTTTCAATTCCATTTAAAAATTATACTTGCTTTAAATTTAGATTTTTTTTTTAAAAAACGTTGCCCCACACTAGGATTTTCTCCTGTATCGTGGGTGCGTTTACAAATATACAAGTTCACATACACATGACACCCAGACCCGAAACAACAATTTGTGGATCACACAAAGTGTTGTTCCGTGCGGGAATCGAACCCGCGACACGTTGCACGGCAGCCGGTTGCCCAGCCACCGCACCAACCGTGCAGTCAATTTTTCATTATTTTTCAGTATTTTCATCTGTCATTAGGTCAATCGATAATAGAATTTAACACCTAGGACTCGAAGTAGTGCCCTAATCGAAAGTAGGATCTAAAGCAGTTGCCATTAAATTGAGACAGAATTCAATACAATAATAGAGGAAAGTGAGTCGGTCACGCATGAAATCGATTAACTATGTTTTACGGCTCGATCCCTATTGTGTGCAGAATGCGTATACAAGTGACGACGGTACCGGCGCTCGATATCATCGCATCATTAAACTCAAAACGATTCTATCCGATTGATACATCATTATTGTTTGACAGGACGGACATGTCTTTACAAAGATTAACATAAATTTCGAATTAATCACCACCACACGGCACTTATATGGCATAATAACGTAAATACTTATCCAACTCTGTAATTATGTATTATTTGCCCATCATATCATAACAAACAAATCAAATGCTCGTCATAAGAAGTCGGTTAACAAGATTGTTACTAAAATTACTGACGAATTAAAAATAAATAACGTTTCGCATGATTTTCTCACAAAATTCGTTTTTATTAGAAGCACGGAAACTGGATTCCGTAATTATCAATAGAATGTAAGGGTTAAACAAAATGGAAACGAAAGTGATTACGAACAATAATGATACCTATAAAGCATGGAATAGAAAAACTAAAGCGTGTTAGGTGTTATGTTGTGAATTTAGAACTAATAATGTTTTTAAAACGAATGAGCTAAGTACGTACCTATGTAACGAATAAAGATTAATCGATTGCTTCAAAGTAAACACTCAAACAAATATAAGGCTTGAACATACATAAAGTAATGAATGTATCGAAATGTTATAATACTTATATGAATGTTAAAACACAAATATTTGGGCAAAGTACCATTGTTACAATGAAACGATAACATTATTAGGTCGAAGGTTTACACTCAATTGGGTCCTTATTTTAAACAATTAAACAAGACATTTGTCGGTCAGTACGTAATTGGAATTCAGTTGTGACTTACCCCTGACCGAGGTGCCAGTTTAAAGTGATTATTGGATTTCTTATATATACAAATGTTTATAGGTATGTATTTGCTGGACTTATTACCATTTAAACGCAATTGTCTTAAATCTTACTCATTTGTACTCACTACTGAGTTTGTTGGCTTAATTTTTTATGCGATGGGATATCCAAATTATTTTGTGTTATTATTAAATTATAATCAAGTGATGTGCTACAAACAAATGGTTTAAAAGACAACTTTTAAAGAAAAGTACTTGATTATAACCAGCAAAGAACGGAGAGAGTTATATTGACAGCGAAAGTGCCCCGGAACTGTTATCCGTGAAGCCAATAAGTTGAATTAACAGTCTTTCATCAAGTTGTGACAGAAACGGAAGATTTTCTATTATCTTTACAAATAATAATGAACATTATAATATTTATTATAAGTACTTCTTTTTAAAATTAGAACTCTGGAATTCCGGAGCGTAGCAATAGGCTCTCGACCCATTACAAGGGAGTTTTAAAATAACTGGCGAAAACAATGGAGTATGAACTTTAACTACGTATTTAAAAAATGTCCTTTAACCACGGTATAACAATCACATATGTACTTACATTAAAAATGGTCGCGGCGATGTCGCACAGACAACTGAGGCAGGTGTAGGCTGCGCGACATCGCCACGACCGCGCACACTGCTCATGAGGAAGAACCATCTATGGTTCAAAACAGTAGAGCTTTTTTCAGTATTTTCACGAAAGTAACCTGCGATTATTAGTTAATTCAGGATGACTCATGATAGTTAGTAGTATATTCTATAGGCATTCTGGACAACCGGAGCGATGGCGAACTTGTTTCGCCGACCGAAAAGCCCAATCATATAATACTATAGTTATTATAAAAGAAAAGTATATAGTTTGTACGAAATATACAAACTGTAATGTTTTATTAGTTATATTGCACTGATTTGTAATCATTCAATATTTTTATACCATTTGTAATTTTGCGTGTCGACAAACTATAAGTCAATGTTGCTGTCAACTGATATTTATTTAATCAATGATATCAAATCAATTAGAAACAAATAAAAAACTTGAGAGTTCAAATCGTTCGTAGAAATAGTATAATTTACTTGATTGCGTAATTGTTAGGTATTCGTTATAATTGTGTTTTCCATATCGAACCGCAGAATATTTGTAGTTAATAAACCAATGGCGAGCATGACCGTTTATTTTATCCTAACAGGTTACAGAACAGAGTTAGAAACTTATTTATACAACACTACATCTGTTGCATAAAATTGGAATTATGAAAATGAAGAAGAATATGTATGTAGGTACTTATTTAATAATTACATGCACTAACAACTTCAATTTTTTGGCCATGTTATGTTGTGATTTGTAATATATGTACACCTTTTCAGGCCCCGTGCTAACTGAAAATTATCATTAACTGTGCCCGATCGATAATTGGTCTTCTTGTAGTTCTAGGAGTTACAATTTTTTACGTTGACGTTTCAGATCGTGCCAGTGCCGCGGGAGTCACGTTGTGGCTCACAATGTTAGGGGTGATGCGCGCGCAGTCCGTGCCCGCTGACAACGACACACCTCCTTTCAGCACCCTGTATAAATGGAAGCAAGTCGACTTCGAGTTCCCCACGCCCAGACACCGGAGACATGCACTATCCACGGGGTAAACATCATTGTAACTCATTTGTTTTTACTCACGATCTATTCACAATACTTTTACTATTATGTCATTGTTATTTCCTTACACTTATAAAATAATCAATTTTAAAACAAAACACTTACGTGGTGCTTAATTATGGATTTTGTGAGAAGTCATCATCATCATCATCAACAGCCTATAAATGCCTACTGCTGAGCAAAGCCTCTTCTCACACGGAGAAGGTTTGAGCATTAATCACCACGCTTGCTCAATGCGGGTTGGCGATTTCAAACTTTTAATTAGAAATTATAAGTCCAGGTTTCCTCACGATGTTTTTCCTTCACCGTTTGTCAGTGGTGTCTAAATAATCTTAGAAAGTACATACAACTCGGAAAAAGTCACATTGATACTTGCCGTTGTGAGAAGTACTTTCGATATAATGATTATTTACTACCCCGTTGTTTTATATTCTTCATTAGAATTTCTTTATATTTTATACTAAACCATATTCCTTCATAAATTGATAATCACTATGCCTAAAATATCTATGTATTAATATATATTAAAAACAATAAAATAGGAATCGAATACGTATAAACCTAATAATGAGAATCCCAAAATTAATTTCAGGAAATTTATACCTGCTAATGTGCTTCCCCTGGGCCTCGAGGTGTGGGGTCACCGAGTGTGGGTGACAATACCAGCGTGGAGACGAGGCGTACCCGCCACGCTCGCTACTCTACCCAGGCAAGGGGGACTCGCCTCGCCTCAACTCAAGCCATACCCTGACTGGAGCTTTCATAGAGCTTTTGGTTAGTTTATTTGTTTGTATTTTTCTAAAAATCATGTGGATGGTACGTTTCAAACTGATATTTTTTTGTAAATATGGTATTAATACGAAATTATTAAAATTCATATTTTCATACTTACCTACCGTAGCAGTTTAGATCAAGGAGAATAGCAATATTATGGCACACAACATAATATATGTTGTTTATGCTTTCAGGTGACCCGAAGAATTGCACGGGGCTAACTTCTGTGTTCCGGATACACGCCGACCACTGCGGGCGACTTTGGGTATTGGATTCCGGCCAGATAGACTCACAGGACAATCCGAAACAATTGTGTCCACCCAGCATAGTAGTGTTCGATCTTAAAACAGATACATTGATCGCGCGATACACGATTCCTAAACAATTTGTATTACAAGATTCTTTATTCTCCAACATCGTCATAGACTCTAGGACAGTAGACTGTTCAGACCTTCACCTGTACATAGCAGACACCTGGCGATTCGGCCTACTAGTGTTCAGAGAAAAAGACCACAAATTTTGGAGATTCTCAAACCCATTATTTTTCCCTGACCCATTAGCATCAAATTTCACACTGCACGGTATAAACTTTCAGTGGACCGATGGTATTTTTGGTTTAGCTTTAACCCCGATTGATCCATACGAGGAACGCATATTATTCTTTCATCCTATGTCAGGTTATAGGGAGTTCTACGTGTCAACAGAAGTATTACGAGATCCATTCAGAGTTACTAACAGTTCTCAGGAATTTAATATAGCCGGAGAGAGTAGAGGATTGAATGGTCAAGCGTCTGCGTCTGCTGTCGATAGGACTGGAGTGATGTTTTATGGCTTAGTAAGCCGGGACAGTATCGGATGTTGGAATACAAAGAAACTCTATAAAAGGAGAAATATTGGGATTGTGGCATCTAATACGGAGACTTTAATATTTCCGAATGACATCAAAGTTGATCAAGATTTAAGGCAGAATTTATGGGTCATATCGAATCGGTTGCCGATGTTCCAAGCAGGACCACTGGATGCTGATGACTATAACTATCGCATCTTATACGCTGATACTAAGGAAGCCGTGCGAGGAACAGTTTGCGACATGGACCCTGATCACCAATCTCCTGCCGATATCATACACAGAGGATGGCTGCCATAAAAATGTACCTCAAAATATAATTATTTAATTAAATTGCACTTTTATAAAACGTCGGTATTTTCATTTAGCGCCTACTCATATACACATTGCAACTCGCTAAGCAGTGACTTCGCCTAAAATTTCTATAAGGATTTTATTAGTTGTTCTAATTCAAATCTATAGCTAACATGTAAGTCATTTCGTAACATTAGCTTTGTTTAGTAACTGTGACTGCTTAATAAGGGGGCTTTAGTTAATTTCCAGGGTGGGTATTTTTGTTCTGCAAAACTTAATTTAACAATAGCGCATAGTCTGAAGTCGTGCTTGTATATCGGAATAGGCTAACCTGTTTTACATAGGACTGTGAGACTCTGGCAAAGAGTGATAAGTATATGTGCATCGCTGCCTTCCCTCTCAGGGGTTAAAAAGCATTATCTATGTATGTACGTAAAACAGAAAACTATGTAGTTCAATGTTAACATAGATTCAATGTCCAGAGTATTTATTTTTTGCTTTCCTTATGTTGTAAATATATCAGTTTTAATAAAATACTTCATGACCAGAGTTATTATTCATTTTTTTCGAAATGTTAAAATCGATATTTTATATGAATTTTGTATGAGATTGCGTGTTTGACGTCAATGGTTTTTTTGCGTCAAATAGCAGTAAAGTTACGAAAATTTGTTTATTATAACATCAATGAATGAAACAAAGTGTATATTAGAATATTCATATAATTATTTTATAACATCGACCACAGTAATAACCTAGGAACATATCCAAGTATCGTCAGGTACACGTAGTAAGTATATCGGTGATTGACTCTTGCGTACAGTGTCATGGATGTTATCCTTTTCAGATTTGTTCCGTATGAAAATACTAGACAAATCTTTCCACTTTGATCTAGAGGTAGAAAACGATTTTCAGTATCGCACATCCACCGTACATAATGTACTTATTAAAATTACATAAGTGACATTAATATCTTTATTTTAAAAGTAAATAATGTATATGACATGATAATATTTCAAGATTCAGTTTAAGATTCGATATCTATAGGAACCTAGTTGTAAAATGCGTATTATGAAATGCCCTGCCATAAAAAACCAGGTTATATAAACAAATACTAAAAGTCTGCGTAGCCGAGCCGTTAAGCGCATAATTATTACTATCAAATCTTAAGAAATAATACTTAAATAAATAGTAATCATTGACCTCCTTTAAATTCTAATTTAATGTTAATATTTATACGTTAAGTACTACGCCTACGTAAGGTCCACGCCACGTCTATTTATGGTTACGCAGCGTCTACGTAGTGCTACGTGCTACGCAGGGTTACGTAGTGCCTACGCAGGGTTACGTAGTGCCTACGCAGGGCTACGTAGCATCTACGCAGGACTAAGTAGTCACTACGCAGGGGTACGCAGTGTCTACGCAGAGCTACGCAGCATTTATGCAGGGCTACGAAACGTCTACGCAGGGTTACGTGGTGACTACGCGGGATTTACACCACATTCGATCTAAATAATCATGTTATACTGAATGTTGATTAAAATTATGAATCATAGAGGTAGTTATTTTTTACAGGCCTGACATAAACAAAAGGCCTTTAGAAATTATTCTTATTAGATATATCGAATTACAACCAGCACAGTAAAATCACTCATAACGTAACTGTTACACTTTAACTCATTATAGACATCCACGACTCGACGTACAAAACAATTTAAACGTTACAATCCATGTTATTATCCAAACTAGTTATTCAGTTTTATCACGATTCTAAAAACAGCTTAGTATAGTATACCAGTTGGGGGTATTACACCACTCCTTGAATACAGTTCCGAGTTATACAGAACTGGTGGGCGACGCCAAAACTATTTATGTAATAACTTCTTTAATTCATGTTTAGTCCTCGATGTTAACATAACAGTTCTAAGCCACCGACCGAACGGACGTGCTACATTATATATGTAGCTTAATTCCATGCAAGTGAATCAGTGGTAACGCCAAAATGGAAAAGGTGAGTTCTTATTTACTTATTTCTAATAATAATAATTTTAGCGTGTTCATTTTTTTGGTAACTGCAAGATTAACGTTCGTAACTGTACATAATGTCCTTGCATGTTTCCTGTTACCGAAATGTGAGTTAAATACCAATTACTAAAAATACAAAAGCTTAGGGATATTATTCTTGTGAATATTTGTCTATTTTTTGTCTAGACTCTCTTAAACAACTGAATTCATACATACCTACATACATATTAAATGATTAGATGCGTGTAGATGTAACGAATAAAAAAAAAGTATGTTTGTAAGGATCGTTGCAGCCGCTCCGTAATTTGTACTCAATAAATACATGGGACAATGGAGTGAGTTTACATTATGGTAATTTACATAATAATGTAATTAAAAGTCATATCTAAATTCGGTGTATATACCTAAGTATGTTGTGCTCACAATTATTGTAATAAACACAATGCGTGTATTGTTGATTGAGACCGCGACCTGTGTCAAACAAAAATCCAACATTCTTTAATAGCAGTAACTCAATAAGTAGTTCAAATTGTTCGAATTAGCATATTGGAACAGTGATTACAAGTTTATATAATTAGATACTAAAGCCTAGAATTACAGATAGCTCTTGCAAAATCTAAACATAAACGTATATATGAATTAATTTAACAGTTAACGTGTTGACATAGTTGATCCATTAGCATTAACTTAGACATACAGTGACGTCTATATACGTAATATCCTAGCGTCAGGTAGATATAAGTTTTTTGGAAGGATGCACAAAGGTGATTTCTCAAGAGCACCTGCTATACTTTTTGTCGGGACTAATTCGTCACGTCGCTAGTTTGTAGTCAAATTGAGTCACCCACACAGTTGACGAATCTTTGTTTTGTTATTCTATCAGTTGGATTTTGTTTTCGATGTGCTAATTCTTTTTATGTTCCTAAAATTATTGAAATAGATAAAATTTTGCTTCTCTTTTAGTGTATGATCTAAATTACTTGGACTATTAATAAAAAGAAATAAACTATATTCATAATTCAAAATTGCAAAATACAAAAACAAATCTTAAGTACCTATGTACAATTGGCCTCACAAAGTTGATGCCTGCACTAAGTCAATCCTGTATCCCAAGCGAGATGGCTTTCTTAATCTTTGTCATCAGACATTTTTTGACAGATATTTGAACAGGGCTTGAAACTAGAGATAATCTTGATACTTGACTAGACGTTAGCAATTTTATGTACGTTTTGTTTACAATTTGTGTGAAGTGATCAATCATTATTTAAGTTACGTACTCGGGTACAACAATTTCAGTGACGAAACTGAATCTTTCTAAGCTCAACCTAATATGCATTTGCTCCCAATTTCGACACAAAACTCGAAGGTATGGAAAAGTACGAAGGTTTAATGAATAAGAATGTCTTATTAAGTAACTGTCGTCAAGAATATAACAGCTGATTTCCTCGGATTTTAACTTGAGCGACAAATAGCGAGCATATTTTGATAGCAACTGGTTCATAAAGTCGTTGTCCTCGGCGGCCACACGTAATTAAGTAACCCTACAGTAACAAAGTCAGCCTTGTCAATGCTTTTAATTACATACAAGTAGTGCAAGTACTTTAAACTTTATTTCTAGAGGAATACGGATGTTTGTTTAACAGCCACACGCAACTGAATATCATTGACCAAAATTATTTGGATGTTATTAATATTCATTTTAATTCGTCTTTATAGGAATGTGAATATTTTGGAACATTTTGAAGTATGTACCTACTGGCATATGAATTTTCTACGGTTATGTTTGGATTTGCATAAGAGCTCTCTCATTAGGGGTAATTATTGTTACACCATTCCTCGTCAGTAATTTAAGAAAATAGATATTATTAGTTTCTTGGAGAAGAGGTGATCTTATTCTCAAACGCAATCGAAACTAGACCAACTATATATGATATTAGAGTTTTGAATGGCATAAAAGTATTGGAGTTTAGAACCAGCCATTTTTACGACAAAATGCAAAATATGCTAGACTATTTAAATAAATAAACACGCCTCAATTTTATTAAGTCAAGTTATTGACCTCTGTTTTCAAAACAACATCATCTACGAATAACGTACCTATAATCTTTTAACGATTCCATCTACATCATTAAGAGCGTATGATAGTCCACTTTTGGACTATGGGCGTCCTCAACATAAGAGGGATTTTTTAAGGAGGAAAATCATCAAATGACTGCTCCCGACTGGGTGAGGCGGGAGGGAGAGTCAGACTCTTAGTGACTAAAACTACCCCGTTGCTTCTGCTGCGCTTCGAGCCGGAGCCCCGGTAACCCGTTAGGTTCTCCGCGACTCCGAATCGGCATCAGCCCTGTTGGGCCCCATCCGTGCTGGTCTGATGGCTCTTTGAGGCGCGCGCGGAACGCTCGGGGACATAAGAGGGATGGGCCCTAAAATTTACGCTTGACAGACGGGTTTATTTTGCAATGTTAAATATTAATTCTCCACGGCCTCTTGTTCCGTGCTCTTGTCTTACAATATTTTTTTACAATAAGTGTAATAAATATTTATAAAGTACCTGTTTCACACTACAATAAATTAATCACGTCTATAATTATTACTACAAGAATTGACGGACGGGTTGAAGATTATAGTTTTAAGGTTCGGATCAAAGAAGAGCGCTGTTTCCTGGTCTCTGTGAGGGCTCGTATACCAAACTGCGATGCGACGTCGCATCGCAAAAATATGCGAGCTATCTCTACGCATCGCAAGAACTTGTGAATTGATTCGCATCGTGCATCAAAATCTTATCTCCCCAAAATCTTCTTTGTTTCATTTTCCTGTATCTCCTAAGCAATAACACACTTCTTTTTACGACCTAGTTTTCAATTTAAAATTCGTTTAGTACGGTTGACGGTCGTCGAAGGAATGGTCACCCTGGGAGCCGCCTTGTCACACGAATCATCGCAGCAATTCTCATCGTATTTTTTTGCGTTATGAATTCGCATCGCATCGCATCGCAGTTTTATGTACACAAAGCACCGCTAATTAGTTAGCGGCGCTACACATCGACACAACTATCATTTACACAATATACATGTGTGGGTAATTTCATATCAATAGATATGTATAGAAACATTCGTCTATCACACACATCTTGGTATTTAAAAATCATTTGTGTCGGTATACGCAATAATTTAGTAAATAAGTTTAAATAAAAACGAGGGTAAAGATAAAATTACTCATAACAAACTTTGAATAAATCGAAATCAAAAATAATGAACGATCGAGCTATACAATACCCATATAAATATAGTGCTTTCTCATTGTAATTTTATGTTACTGAAGGATATAAAATATTTCGATAATCTCATCTACAGCGCGCTTGGCGCAATGGTTATCGCCTCCAATTGTCAAGTAAAGTGCCGCCGGATCGATTCCAACATTCACATGTTGTTTTAGAATTAATTTATCAAATATTTGAAATTTGAAATTAGAAACAATTAAATCTTTTCTTTTTTTTTCCTTTCCTATTGTTCTAAATCTTATGTTAATTTTAATAGTAAATACTTTAGATTTATTTATACCTATAATATCTTTTATTTATATTTTAGTTCTAGTTATTTATTATTTAGAATAATCTCATTTGCTTCATGCATTTCAACCAACTTAAATAAGATAAAAACAGTAAAAAAGTAATTAACTGTGATTTCTTAATGGTTCGATACCTGAGTATATTTGCAATGTTTGTGGCGACCATAGAAATCTCGAGTCATTTTATTTTACACGCTTATGAAGTAACTACCGACTATTTAAAACATGTTTTTCAAATCACCCGACTTACAAAATAATTGCGTTCTTAGTTGTCAATTTATGAGGATTTCATAGTTTATTGCTACACTACTTATATTCGTGTGCAAAGTTATTTTTATTTTTACAAGATGTTCCAACACCTATCAACATTTAAAAAGGCTGAAACCATTGTTTTGCATGAGCAAAACATAACTAACAATAACTGAAATAGCAAGGCGTTTAATGATATCGGTGAGTAAATAAGATACTACGTTGATATTCTAAATAATATTTATTTCATTTTGTAACTCGACACACCTATCAATTTTTGCACTAGAATAAAATAATTATTGCAACTTATTATGAAGTTCAATATTATAAAGATATATTAATAATTTATTATTAATTGTATTGTAACTTGACTTGTTTTTGTTAGGAGTGTTTCTTTAAAACATATCTGGTTAGGGATTTTTATTCCTTACGCCACTACTTAATTATAAATTATTATTCTAACATTGTGTTTACTTATATTTATTATTATTTTTAAGTAACTTTAATTCCTGTAAAGTATTTCCTGGTATTTTAAATACTTATTTGTTTGGTATCAACAGAGGAGATCCATGCAGTTATGGGTGCACAGATATGCGGAGACCGGTGACGTTAAACATCGTCGACGTGGGCCTAAACCAAAGGCAAATTCATCGGCTCGGCACTACGACATCGTAGCCAGGCACATGGCTGATCCGTTCCTGCCAACCCGCACTACAGCGACAGCACTGAATGTTTTAATACAAACTGTACGGAGACACCTGCATTCTGGTTTAAGGTGCAGGAAGCCAGAGAAGAAAATATTGTTATCTGTGGTTCACCAGCAAAAGCGCTAAGAATTTGCTAAGGACTTTATTAATTTTGATTGGGCGAACAGTGTAATCATATTGAGCGACGAAAAGACTTTCAAGTCGGATAAGGATGGGCGTAAAATATTGTGAAGAAAAGATGGAGAAAGGTATACGAATTGCAACCTTCTGCCTTGTAGGATCAGTGATTGTATTGATTTCGGAATCAATTATTGAGCCTGTCAAACTCTGCCTTTATTAAAATTAACATAAAATAATGTTTAATTTTTTTAAGAATATTAAAATGCTGTCTAGAACATACGGTGAAGTGATGTTATTGTTTTGTGGTTAGAAATTGTCATAATTTCTTTCTATTCAACATGTTTATTCACTTCACTTTAATTTTTCATTAACAAATTTATTTAACTGCTTTCGAACTTGATTGACATATTATATTTACGCCCATCTTCAATTAATTTAAAGTTTCCCTGATTCTAAAGGTCATGAAAGTTAAAATCGTTCCATAGCATTCGTCACATTCTTTTTACTATCATACAGCCCACTGAATATTGAACCTTATAACAACCGTCGTAAAATAGATAATTAATGGAAGTTCAAACGACAAAAAGTCGCCCATTTCAAGAAATATTATGTTGACAGTGTAATTTTTTACATGTTTTACTTGTTTATTACTGTAAAACTGTAATTTAATAATACATTATATTATTAAATTACAAAACAAGAATGTTGTATATTTGTTTATTACCTACTTAATAAAAAATGTTGCTGCCATCGTTACCGCTGTACCGCATGATATTTCCCGATTCGACTATGAGGTTTATTGTCATATCTATTAATTATGATTTAAAGAACTTTAAACTTAACATGTGGTATATAATTAATTATTAGATATAAATATTGAATATAAAACAACATATTTGTATAATAAATAAATTAATTGTAATAAAAAATAGTATTGTTTTATTTACCAACTCATTTGCTTTTTATAGCCTGAGATTTATATTTTATGACAAAAAACAAAAAAAAAATAAGAAAAATAACAAGGTAAAATAAAATTAACTTTTAGCTGGAATAGAACCCACATCATTGATCCTTGAAAGACGATAAAAGCGTGCTCATTAACCAATCGACCACGAGCACTACGATAATGACAGTGAAAATGTCGGGTCATATCAATGATTGTAAATAGTTTTAACCTTACCTATGCATTAAATTATAAAAATACGTATACCGACACAAGAATGAAAATACCAATGTGAACGTGGTGGACGAATATTTTTATATACAGTTATATGAAATTACGCACACATGTACACTGTGTAAATGACAGTTGTGTCGATGTGTAGCGCTGCAACTAATTAGCGGTGCTTTGTGTACAAGCTCTGATAAGTATAGTCTGCCTGTCATCTCTTACGATATAGAAGAGTCAGGATGCTGAAATACGTCTACTTTACAGTCAATACACGGCGGCATTTATAATACTCGTGCTTTATGATAATTTATCTTATGTCCATAGGAACACGAAACATGATGCACCATAACAGACATAATTTACTAAATTTTTCAAATATGCATTTATGTTGATACAGCTGGGTACGAACAGCTGTTGGATATTGACTTCATATCTCAGTAAACAATGAGACCAATTTTAAGTACATATAAAAACTATTTCTTGTTACCTATTAGTACTTACTTACTTTCAAAAAGTTATCTACCTACCATAAATATGAGATTTAATCAAGAGGACAAGGTATGATAGACTAATATATTTCCTTAATCTGCTATTTATAACCGTTAGGACTTTGAAATATACATATAAATGAGGTGTTTAACATTTTTTTAGCGTTAAATATATCACGAAGAACACGATATTAAATAGCTTTCTAGAATGTATGCTATTTCTTTACCTACTATTGAATAAATTACGTAATAACTATTCTTGAATTATCTTGTATACATTATTTACTTGATTATTATGCAAAGAGTACAAACGAAAAAGGTAGGTATTATTGAGTATGTATTTGTGCATGTTTGAAGGTTTCAACACATCAATCAGTTACCACACCCAATGAATAATGCAGTGCTAAGAACATCGTAGAATAACAAAATAATTAATTACATACTTAAGAGCAAAATGTGTATGCTAACATTGGTATAATGCCTGATAAATCCTTGAAAAGTTACGCTGGGATCATATAGGATAGGTATACTGTTGTTCTTTCAAAGCATATAAATGTGTTAAATGTTTCACCCACATAGCCAGCTGCGTCATGCGACGAACATAATTATTTACAGATTCAGTTGTATTACTGCGAATCACAAAAATAAAACTAATTGTTATATTATAAGGAGGTACTTTTGCAGATATAACATTTAAACCCGATACCAAAACAAAACATTTAATCATCTAGGTACTACTAATACGTACTATGTAATGTAACATACTATCTTATTTTTTACAGCTCCTGCTTGGGTTGATACTGTCGAGTATCGTGGCATCGAGTTTCGCCTACATACAGATTGCTAGTAAAAAGCCGCTAGGCACTCTGTATAGATGGAAACAAATCGATTATGCATACCCCACACCACAAGCTCGCCAGGCTGCTATCAACAACGGGTAATTGTTATGAGAACCAATTTGATTATTTTATTATAATATTCCAGAATAAAACTTTCAACCAAAATAAAAAGCAACAGATGCTGTTAATATCTTCAATATCTACATAAACATCCGATCGTAATTATTAATCTGACGAAAATCCGATAACAACTGGTACGATTTGAGTAATTTAATTTAAAATATGGACAATTGATTGAACTCTGACACAGTACTAATATTATAGGTATAAGTGAGAAAGTTCGCGTGTAAATCGCTTCAAAATGGCTGAAGGAATTGAGATGTTTGGGTGCGTAAAGCGTCTGGAATAACAATTCCAGACGCTTTATTTTTGGATCTCTTTGACTGGATTTTAGTGTTACATTGTTCTCGCACAATCCAAGCAACATAACTATGTAACTAGAGAATTGTATTGTAAACCTGATTGAAAAAGAGTAACCTATGGAGTTTCTTACTCGATCTCTATAGAAATCTACACCTTGGAATAAACAAATAGCTTCACTTTAATTTTTTGTTGTCGTTCAAAAGTGCCTTTCTGGTCTAATCGAAATAAATGATTTCGTCTTTGACTTTGACGCTTTAATAACACATAGGCTACTTTAATTTTCCGGGAACGCAGGAAAAGCCTCTAGCAGAAGCTAGTCCCTTAATAATTATTGTTATTGTTGGTATAATAATTCTTTTTCCTGCAGACAATTCAATCAACTTAACGTAATACCGCTCGGAGTAGAACGTTGGAAGGATCGCGTGTTCATCAGCACACCGCGATGGAAGAAGGGCACTCCAGCCACGCTATCATCTGTGCCCATTGGTGCTCAAACTGAATCACCACCCCTAGAACCATACCCTAACTGGAACTGGCACACTGCAGGTAAACCTCTATACAGCAGTTGCTAGCACATGCCACATCCTTCAATTTCTTATAAATAATTTTTTAATTACCTTTTTATCCCAACAGATAACTGCACGGGCTTCACTTCGGTATTCCGTATGGCCATAGACCACTGTGGCATTATGTGGGCCCTTGACTCTGGTCAGGTGGAAGCTTTTGAATCACCTCGTCAACTCTGCCCACCCACGTTATATGCCATAAATCTAGCCACTGATACAGTCATAGGACGTTACCCCATACCAAGTGAATTTGTTCTGCAAAACTCATTAATCACCAACATCGTGGTAGACTCGAGAGACGTCCGCTGCAGGGACTTACACGTTTACATAGCAGATGCATGGCGTTTTGGCTTGATCGTATTTAGAAATGAAGACACATCTTTTTGGCGATTCAGTCACTACAGCTTTTACCCTGAGCCACTACTCTCGAACTATACTTTACATGGACTAAACTATCAGTGGTCTGACGGTCTGTTTGGTATGTCCCTCGGTAAGTACCACCAAGGCGACCGACCGCTGTACTATCACTCTATGTCCAGTTCCTTGGAATTCGTGGTGAGTACGTCGGTAATACGCGATCCGACGCGCGTGAGCAACTCCGTGGGCGAGTTCAAGCTGCTCGGCGACAGTCGCGGTGCGAACGGACAGGTCTCAGCCGCAGCCGTCGACCGCAACGGTGTTATGTTCTTTAACCTCATTTCGCGAGACAGTATCGGATGTTGGGACACACGCAAACCTTATACAAACCGGAATCTGGTGGTAGTAGCCCAGAACAATAACACAATGATCTTTCCAAACGATTTACGAATAGATCACGAAGTACCACAAATGGCGTGGATTATTACTAACAGACTACCGATGTACCAGTTTAATTTAATTAATCCTAATGATTACAATTACCGTGTCATGTATTTAGATCCAGTGGCAGCTGTTCAGAACAGCGTGTGTCAACCAGAAATACGTTTAGGTGATAATCAAGATATTATGTTGTAATAATTGTTAGTTTAGTTTATTTTATTTTGTAAATACATAATTAAATAAAGTCTACATACAATTTAATTGTTTGATTATTTCCCTATTTATAGCAATCATTTCAAATTAACTTATATTTTATGCATTTCTTTTTGTGTTTTCACTGCTATTAGGTTTGCTATCATCATTAGTATCTGTAGAGTCTTTACTAGGATCTTTCTTCAATGTTTCATTTTTTTCTTGATTCAACACATTATTTTGTGATGTTTCTCGTTTAGATTCAGTAGGAGTAACTTCTTTGCCTTTATCAGTAGCTGATCTTAGCTGTCTCACAGTAGGTGTTCCTTCAGGGCCCAAGTTATCCTCAATCGACATTATACGTAAAGGTACTTCTTTAGGTTTATAGTAATGGGGGATTTTTTTGTCTGTAACATCTTCTATTTTGATACCTTGTGTAATTTCTTCTATTTTGATACCTTCAGTCAAATCTTCTATTTTGATACCTTGTGTCAAATCTATTATTTTTAAATCGTGTGTTAAATCTTCTGTTTTTGTATCTTTTGTTAAATCGTCTATTTTAGTGCCCTCGGTAAAATCTTCATTTTTTCCTACGTTTACAATATTATTTTGCATCAAATTTTTCATGTTGTCATCACTTGAAATTTTAATGTCAGGAGATACTGTTTTTATTTCATTGTCTGATTTGTTATCATGTATTAAACCATCAGTTGCGTATTTTATCCCCTTTACATCAGATTGGGGCTCGTCTTTGCTTAATATTTTACTATCACTATTGTTATCACATCCGTCTTCATTTGCTGCTTTAGGCGATGAATTCGTATCGATGTCATTTGATACTTTACGAAACATAAAATTTTCTTGGCTATCTAAATAAAAAATTTCAGGGACATCTGAATCTCTGTTGTAATTGTGAAATACGGCATCATCTGAGGGTTGATTTGATGTTCCGCTTGCAAATAAATGCCTGTTCCTTAATTCGTTAGCTACAGTGTTAAGCACAAACTCTCCATCGTGTTCTAAATTTAACATTTGAGCAAGAGTGGATGTACCGTTGATTAATTCATTAAATTCATTAATTATGAAATCATCGGAAATTTCTCTGCTGTGATCATCACTATTCATTATTTTATTGTACACCATACTTGTATACTCTTCCAAAAGTTTTAGATTAATCTCTCTATTTTGATTTGCTCTTTGTATTATACTTGCTATAGACTTTTCGCTGTCTGCATTTGCATTTACTAAATGTGGATCGTTTGCTTTCTCACTCTGATTTAAATTGTTATTTGACGATTTGTTTATGTTATCTCCGGAAACTTTATTAATTTGAACAGAATTATTTGTGTTACCACTTAATTGACTACTTCTAATTCTTAATGGCGTCCCTATTTTACTTTGTTTATCAAATGTTAGTTTTTCTTTTGTTGCTTCCATTCCTGACACATTTTTTGATTGTGAATCTTGTTCAGTAGTCGTGTCTAATTTAGTTACATTCTTCTTGCTTGACATTTGTTCCAGCTCCACTGGTGTTGACAATGTTTCATGGGATACACTAGGCGAATTTCGCTTTGTTTTGTGTTTAAATTCGTCAGATTCACCATTACTATGAACTGTTTTCAAAGGAGCTGTTGTTGGCTCTGTTTGGAGTTTATCTGTGGTAGTTTTTTTCATAAATATTTGTGGATATTCCCGCAAATACGAAGCTGTATTTCCTCTACTACTGCCTATATTTTGAGGTGTATCAGAATCGCCTGCATTGATAGTGCAGTCAATATTATCACTATGCCATAATGCGGGTACTGCTGAACTGAATCTCTGAGGGTCAAGTAAAGATTCTGTTACCTCGTTCTTCATATAAGCACCTACGCGTAACAACATTAAAACTATCTGTTCTAGAATCCTATCAGTATCTCGAGGTATTATTATTTCACTCCCGAACCAATCTTCGTACGCTCCGCTGTCGGAACAGCACCCAGTTGATGGTTTTATGGCGTCCGGCTCTGGAACGTCTTCTTCTGCATTGGTGTCGGTGGAATGCACCATTTTCGATGATATATCCAGTTGTGGTCTTAAATATGATTCATTTGTTGTGCTTAACCCTTCCCCGTAACTGTAGACAAACAAATTACGTATAATATTTTTTACACTAGCGACCCGCCCCGGCTTCGCACGGGTACAAAATGCATGTATTATACATATAAACCTTCTTAAGAATCACTTTATCTAATAAAAGAAACCGCATCAAAATCCGTTGCGTAGTTTTAAAGAACTAAGCATACATAGAGACAGACAGACGGCCGATAGCGACTTTTTTTATACTATGTAGTGATTTGCGATAATCTAAATCAAAGTAAGGACTTGAACTATTGTTAGTAATATAAAAAGTAATTACAAGCTTGCGACTAATTTTTTGCGGAGTTGGTCTTCTCCCAGCAGAGACTTGGTCCGTCTCCTTCGAACAGCCAGCTCCAGCCCGTAGTCATTGTCGCTGGGAGGTAGGACGGCGGGGAACGTTTTGAATGCTGTGGCCACTTTGAGTGCATGGTAATAACTGTGAAGTAAAATTCAAGTAGAAGGACATAAATATTTAGGTACTTTGGAAAAGAAATGTGATTGAGTAGGTTTACTTATATTTTTTATACTCATAATTATGTCGTCTTTTACTAATAGTTGTTTGCTAATATAGTTTCAACTTTGATAAATGATTATTCCATTTTATGTATGAAATTAAATCCCTTCACATTTATTATAGGTCTTGTGATACACGCCAGTACACCAATGTTTTGTAATCTGTCAAATTTTAACAATTTTCGACTTTATTTCAAAGGCATACAGCTGTAAATCATAATCACCTGAATACTAGCATCCACATGTAAAATGCAGGCATGATTGTCGTGAACTTGACCACGACGAACTTGATACAGGGTGTCCTAGCAGGCCCTAGGAGCACACATGTGCCGAGACCGAGGGCGAGGCTCGTCAGCTCACACAGCAGCTTCCTGATAGCAGCCAGGAGCAACCAGGGCAGCACCAATGTGGGTCGCTCTTCCTAAACCGAACCAATCAATAGATTGATACTTATTTCTTATTACAAAGACCTAGATTTGAATTCTGTTGTACTTTACGTTGATTTTTTAAATGCTCTTGATTTATTTAACTTCACAGTTGTAATGGCTGACCTATCTGCTAATTCTTTTAAACAATTTTAATTAACATATGTATGTTTCTTTGTTTAGGTCATAATTTATTCCTTTGGGACCTTACCTCGATGGAATGTAGTGTGACGAACTGACTGTCATTGCGGTTGCACTATATTTAATGGAATCATGTTTGGAATGACGCAACTAACAGATATTTTTCCGTTAGTCCATGAATGGGTAAAAACATGGACCCCTGTCCAATATCCTCAGTTGATTATTCATAATATAATGGCAACTTATGAACCATATTATAAATCAACGAATAGCAAATATTTATTTATTATAATATTAAAATAGTACAACATTACAGTTGTATGAACCAAAACATAACGATAATATACATAAATTATAAATAGGTTTACTTCTTATGTCAGTAATTTTTAAATGAGGTACAATTTTAAACAATAAACGTAATCTAACTGAAATCTTTGAATCTAGAGTAAATCTACTTAAACAGGAAACCGATAGTGAATGAATTCATAACAGAAGTTCACTGCACCTAGAAATAAAGTTTTAAGGAATCGATTTTTTGTTGCCAGTTACCCGCCATTGCGCCAAGCCAAGAACGGTGCAATCCCTCAATATCGATCGATTCTTTCATCTACTATAACGTACCAGGAATACAGGATAGAGCAGCACTATGTACGAAGCCAGGTAGATATAGACAGTGAAGCACTGGACCAGCATTATGCCCGACACCATTGTCCGCAGCGCGCGCTGCACCGGCATCGACAGCTCCTCTGGCATGTTCATCTGCCATACCTGGTCACAAAACAAATACCTATTAAATATTAAGTGATACATACCTGCGTAGTATCCTAAATTTCGTAGTAGTCGGTAGCTGTAGATACATTTTTACACCAATTGGAAACTGTGAGTTTTAACATTTATCGCGTCATGTTTTTAGGAGTAAGTAAAGCTCTTTGGACCCCTGTCCAATATAAATCAGTTTCTACGAGCTTTTCTCATCTTACGAGCTACATCAGTAACTAGATCCTTTTCTTTCTAGGTATAGGTACAGGTTTTTCATTAGTCGCATGTAAAAGTGGAGAAACCGTATTACTGTGCCGTTATTACTTTTATCTATGACTTTCCCTTGGTACCTAGAAGGTACATAACACTCAATTGAATAGTTTATCTAAACACCTAAACATAACATCCTTCATATAATTCATTGAGTAATAACGATAACGAACTCTAGTCATTCATTGACTGATTTGAGGAAAAACCACAATAAACTATAAATTAGTAATCCATCAACATAAGGCGCTTTGTTCATTCATTTCGTGATCAACTACATTGATTCAACTTTGGATGGATTACAACAAAGATGAAGTAGCATTTGCTTTATATCAATATCGGTTCAGTAATTTCTGAGATGTAACAGATGAGCCGATTATATCGACGATACTTTTTTGTAAGACGTGCTATAATGTATTTTTAGCTTACTTTGTAACTATGTGAACTTCATAACGCATTATAAAGCGATACCGTATTGTACCCTGACTAATAGTACAACTAGAGAAACAAAACGTCACGGGTCTCTGGCTACAAGGGGCCACCAAGTAAAGAGGAGCGCAAATAGAAATGAAATGAAACAAGACGAAAATAGAACATTGTTGAAGCCCTAAATAAAAATGACATTTGAAGAAAAGTAAGATATACTTGTAAATTAAATAAAATACTTAATTAATTTAATAATAAATAATTTTCGGAGGTTAAACAGACTAGCAGTATTGTGGATGTAAAGAAATAGCTTTATATTATCAACTAGCAACCCGCCCCGGCTTCGCTCGGGTGCAATATGCATGTATTATACATATAAACCTTCCTTAAAAACCACTCTATCTATTAAAAGAAACCGCATCAAAATCTGTTGCGTAGTTTTAAAGATCTACGCATACATAAGGACAGATAGACAGCGGATAGGAACTTTGTTTTGTACTGTGTAGTGATAAGTTATTTGCACAACGAAATACTCAGAATAGACGTCAGTTTTCTAACCAATAAATTCCTAGGACTAACCGTATCTATTGCATTAGCATTCTATGTACACCGCTTCAAACATTCACTGTTCAATCTTCATGTGCACGAAAACTTCTGATATAGTAAAGATAATTTTACGCTATGCACAACACGTGTTGACTGCGAACACCCAGAGATAACGAACCAATGGCACGCATGCTATTGATGCACGCAGAATTTTGGGAACATGACTGACCATAACGTTTAGTTAGATAGCTGGCTGCAATTTATCCCTCATTATGTTAAAATGTTTATCTATAATTATTCAAAAATTCTTCAAAAATATTGCTTGAAAGTGTTGTTACATAGGTTCGCCATCCCTGCCTTAATATAATTAAACTCTAATAAGAATATTTATAAAATCCGTCGTCGCTAGCACCTGTTTAAGATTGGCGTTCACTTTGAAGAGTGTAGCGTCAAAGATAGTCCGCAGTAGCCCCAGTAAACACCATAAACAAACTTCGGACTGCAAATTCATACCCACGTACGAAAGTATATTTATCATTTTGATATGAGAAATGACACCCAATTATGTAAAAACCGAAAACATTTTTTTAACTTAGATTATTTATCATTTATTATAATATTTACTTTATTTTTGATTATTTGTACATTTAGATTGATTTATTAGAACCGTCAGATGATTGATGTTATTGTTGACATTTTATTTAGCTTTTTTTATGTTTTGCGGTGCAAACTTTATTTTATTCAGCCGGATTGTAACCTATTTAGTTTTATTAAAGCATTGGCTGCAACGAGTTCAAAATAAAGAGGATTGTTTTTATTTTAATGTTTGTTATCGCTCTAAAGCTTCGGTGAAATGGACATTATCAGTTAAAAATTAAATCTTAAACATACAAACCTGTAGTTTAAAAAAATAGTTGTGAACACGTAGACGACAATTTTAACATATTTATCACGATACCTAAATACAACTGCTGAATATTTAACGCATATGTTAAATGACTCAAAAAAAGGAGAAGGCACTGAAGTTCGGAAGATTGTTTTACTAACAACTGTTCTTGAACACCATTCTCTATTGTTTACACAAAACAGAATGGCTGTCAAGTTTATTTATATAAATTATTTAATTATATTAAAGACGTGAATTGGATTGAAGTAAACGGGTGCTGCAGTATGATTAGCGCTGTCATCATCAGTGTGCGTCAGCGTCAATCCGTCAGCGTCGGCGTTGTACCAGCCCAGTGGGTATAGTGGTACAGTCGCGCGCTTCCTTCAGACGAGCCCAGACCACCGAACAGTCACATCGCGTACCACCGCGCACAAACTTCTCTCGACGAACAGTGATCATTAACATTACCCAAGTGATTAAAAGTGGTAAACAGTGATAAGAAGTGATTTACTTTATTAGTTCGAACCTCATTATAAAGGTAAAGCTTAGATCATATTTATAAATAACTTTTGTTTTATTACTTTTTACTTATAAAATAATACTTTTTCTCCATAATATCGATGTGTGTGGTAAAGGCCTTGATTTTGTTTTAGAATATATTTGGGTTACGCGTCCTTACCTTGAGCAGTGTGACTCGCGAGTTATTTTTGAGATTTCAGTCTTAACGTACCACCCACCAATGTTTATGGAGATTTGCGAATACGTCATGATCTATGAAATAATAGAAACAACACGATGCGAGTCCACGGAGCGTGCATAAATAAATATTATTTAATTAAAACTTCAGACAAACATTACCAATGCTAATTTATTCTACACTCGCCTTTATTAGAAAAATATAATATCTATCAAAATATATCCCATATTTCCAGTAGTATAGAGGTAGTAGGTACCTACGTAAAGCATCGAACTTGAATAGTAATTAAAATAAAATTAATATGAATGACTAATCAGCTTAATTAATGTCACAATGTTAAAACAAGAACACTTGTTATTTATAAATCGTTTTATAATAATTATCTTTAAAGAAATAAACGTTCACATTATGTCAATAAATAGTGGAATAATAAAACCAGGAATTGGAATAACCTTCGTTTTGATCTTCAAAAATTATAGAACGAAGATCAATAAGATTCTTGACTCTATTTACTACGTAGAAATTTGAAAGAAAATGCTTAGTTTTTATTATCATTAAACCCTAGTTATCTTTACTAATAACTAGCTTATACCCGCGCTTCTCCCGCGTAGTCAGTATTAGCCTATAACTTCACGCCTGTCTCCCATGGGGGTAGGCAGAGACTAAGGAACGCCAATTACTACGATTCTTACATACCTCTTTCGCTTCATTAACAGTCATCAATCTTTTCATGCATGCTCGTCGGTTAAGGGTACTTTTAATTTGGCCCTTCTTTAATATATCGCCAATCTGGTCACTATATGTCCGTCTAGGGCGCCCTCTACCGACGGCTCCATTCATATCCGCTCTGTATACTTCTTTCGTTACTCTACTTTCATCCATCCTTTCTACATGTCCAAACCAGCGTAACATTCCCTTTTCAATCCTTGTCACTACATCGTCTTTCAATCCACACCTCTCTCTAATAACACTATTTTTCACTCGATCACTCAATTTTAGTCCACACATACTTCTCAGGGCTCTCATTTCCACCGCATTAATCCTGCTTTCATGCTTCTTCTGCCACACCCATGATTCACTACCATACATAAGCGTTGGTGTCAATACACACTGCATTACAGCAAGTCGAGCTTTGCTGGATATTATTTTACTCGACATTACAGAGTGTAAAGCACCATTAACACTATTTCCCGCTTTCACTCTCCTTTCAATATCCCCGTCACACTTTCCATCTCTCGTAAATAGTGATCCCAGATACACAAATTCATTCACTTGTTCCAATTTTTCATCACCTATCATTACCTGACATTCTGTTATCACCTCATTTCTTTCTATCACCAACACTTTCGTCTTGTTCACATTTATTTTCATACCTTTCCTTTCAAATGCATCACTCATAGCAGTGACCATTTGTTGTAATTCTTGGGCCGACGAGGCAACAAGCACCTGGTCGTCGGCATACAACAATGTTTTAATCACTGTGTCATTCATCCTTAATCCAGGCTCTCCTACTTTCAGGTCGTTCAAACAACTGTCCATAAATAGGTTGAACAGCCAAGGAGATGCTACACAGCCTTGCCTAACACCGCGATTAATGTCAAACCACTCCGTGTAGTCCCCATTTATTCTGACACAGGCACTCGAGTCCTTATATAAGGATTTAAGTGCCCGAATCAGGTGGCTATCCACCCCATACATGGACAGAGTTGACCACAGTTCATCCCTCACCACTCTGTCATAAGCCTTTTCTAGGTCTATAAAGGCACAAAATACCTTTTGGTGCTTTGATAACACTATTATTACAATACTATTCACATAATTATTACTATTCACATATTGTGCAGTATATTAAGACAAAAAATTTATATATTTATAACATTTATAGGTAGGTTACATTAACTGAGAACAGATTATCAGTCAAAGTGTGGTTTTAACTTTTAAAGTAACATAAAACTGACATACGGAACTTATTTATGAATGAGACGTGGGATGATGTTATATGGTACCTACATAAATGTATCGTCCAAGCAATAATTAACATTCATTATGAATATTTTTATTACGTTGTCGTCTTTCAAAAGTTACTGATATAGCTAGTAGTTTTATAATGACCAATGTAGTTTTGTTTGACTTAAAATAATGAAGAAGATGAACATGGTAGTTTGTAATTTTTGATACTTATCAAAATGTCAGACCTTTTAATCCCCAAGCTGAACCTGAGGCTGAAAACCGAAGTCGAACTTCGAGGGTTATACCTGACGCCGAATTTACTGGGTTTGGTTCTTGGGTTGGGCGACACTTCCAAGACGTCTTGAGTTGTGTGTGAACTAAGCTGTTTGTTTCTAATTCAGCAAATATCTCAATTAACCATATTTGCCGAAGTGTAACAAACACATTAGTAGTATGTAGTGTAAGAACAGAATTTGACTATGATGTCATTCATATACACGCTGTAATTTAAAGTCACTTAGCTCCTAACATGCAGTACAATTTGTCCAAGGACCTAATTCTATTTTCGCGCACTTATTTCAGTTGTGTTCTATCGTAAAACTGTTTGAATTAGTAGCGAATTAGATCATCGATTAAGTTATGCTCAAAGACTGTAATGGACTGTAATATCAATATTAAACAAAGCTAAAACTGTTTAATAATTAATTTATATTACGTCGTGTGTCTAAACGTGGATCCACTATCACATACGCTATCCATAAAATGAGGGAAGAAGGGGGGTATAACTTATTTTTGAAAATTATGAAAATGCATTTTGCTATTTGCCTAATAAATATTATAATTTGCATTACTAATTTGTAAAATATACACAAAGGAAAATAAATATTGAGAAATATAGCCAGATAGAAAGGAAAAAACATGTTTGTTTCTACCCACTCAATTAATAAGTTTTACCTAAAATGCATATAATTTATAGGCACCATGAACCGTAAAGAGTGAATGACCTCTAGACAAGTCTGTTTTATCAAATATTTAGCAACAGTATTATTATCTTACTACCTTAAGCCTGTGGCTTTCTAATAGCAGGTTATAAAGGCGCCAAAATGCCGGGTACACAACACATAAGATACGGACTGAACATAGAAGAATTTTAAATACAGCTACATCCCGTATATGAAATCAATCTAAATCTAATGGCTCAACTAATCTCAAATCGATCATACCAAAAAGAAAGTCATGACCAAACTTCCGTTATGAAAAAAAAATTGAAAAAGTAGTGTCGCTACAACAGTTAGTTAACTAACGCTAAACAAAAAGTAACTGTTAAATGTTAACGACTGTTAAATATCACCATAAAACGATAGTTAGCACGTTACAGTTTTCTGTTACGAAAAACCTGACAACGGAAACATGTGTAGATATAAATGAATCGGAATACTTTCGTGATGGCTCAGCTGCGGATACTACTACGTCAAAACCTCGACTCGGTTTATTGGTCAAGGTATTCATAAATGTTCAGATCCAGAGATATAAAATTTCATAAAAAATATGAAGCAAACAAAGTTAGTTCAGTATTCAATTTAAGATTTTGAACGTAATGATGAGGTAATGAACCTAACTGATAAGAGATTAAAGGGTTTTGTACTGCAACTTGAGAATACATTTAATTTTAAATTGGTTTTTCTTAAAAGACTTTGAAAAACAGTTGAGTCAATAGTAGGCATCCAATGGCAAACGGTACGAGTGGTTGTATCATTCTTGATATACGTGAGAACACGTCTATGTTCCCTACTCTAACCATATAAGGGATCACTGCATATGGCAGTACTAACATGCCTTGTGAACTCGCCAAGTAATTTATCCCCGTTTTCCCTGCTTTCTACTTAACAACTACATGAGAACCAGACAGTAGCCCACGCATCTATGTATCCTCTTTGTTATACCACTATGATTCTTACAATTAACACCAATTTCCTGCTCAACTTACACCTACAGAAGTAAAACA